CCGTACCACCGAGAGTAAGCGATCACTCAATATAAACCTCCCGCCATTCCAGCTTGCTGACAACATCCAGCCAAGCAGTGCTACAACTGCCAGGGTCTCGGCCACGTCCAGGCTGACTGCCCCACCCTGCGTCTGAACGGTGGTGCTAACGGCCGCTGCTACAACTGCAGCCAGCCCGGTCACCTTGCCGTAAGTTCCAACCCCGAAACCCAGGTCTTGAACATTCAAAAACAGTTACTAATCCCACTCCAGCGCAACTGCACCAACCCCACTGCTCCCGGAGCTGGTGCTCCCCCTACCGGTCCCGCTGCTGGCCGCGGCGCCGGTGGTGCTCGCGGTGGTTTCCAGGGTGGATTCCGCGGTGGATTCAGCGGCTACCCCCGCGCCGCAACCTGCTACAAGTGCGGTGGTCCCAACCACTTCGCCCGTGACTGCCAGGCTCAGGCCATGAAGTGCTACGCCTGCGGCAAGCTCGGTCACATCTCGCGTGATTGCACCGCTCCCAACGGTGGTCCCCTCAGCTCCGCCGGTAAGGTCTGCTACAAGTGCGCCCAGGCTGGCCACATCTCCCGCGACTGCCCTACCAACGAGGGTGCCGCTGCTCCTGCTGCTGCTGCTGCCACTACTGAGGCTGTCCCCGTTGCCGCTGCCCCCGTTGTTGCCGCTGCTCCTGCTGTCGTCGCTGTTGAGACTGCCCCCGAGGCTAACACCGTCCCTGCTGCGGCTCCTACTACTGCCGTCGCTTAAGTGTGTTCGGCCAATGTCTCTCCACTGCATCTGCCATTGGAGGAATGCCTGGAGTTCCTTTTCTTCCTTGATTCTGTATTTCGGTCACTTTCCCTACACCTCGATCGGTCCTTTCTCTCCGCCATTTCTTCCTTTGCATATATTTAAATCACACCCTCTGTTTTGGGGAACGGGGTCTGGTATTGGGCCTTAAAAAACAACAGCTTTTGATTTCCCTTTTTTTTCACCCTTTTGGAACTTGTTCTTTTTTTTACTTATTTTTTTTATCACCCTATCATGTATACGACGAACAAACAGAAAAAGTTCTTTTTGGTTTTGTTTTTCGCGAAGTCACTTGACTTTCTCAAGTCTTACGATTGGCGTCTGTTGTCTATTCTCATGGATTATCTTTCTTGGTTTTCGATCGACTCTTGGTTGCGGTTTTCCTGAATGGGCCCAAGGAGAGAACGAGGAGATGAAGTGTGGCAATGAGAGGATATGTTGGAAGCTGAGGGGAATTGGATTCGGAGACCGTTGCAACTGGAAAGAAAGAGGACTTCCAGATGGGAAGAGTCCTGAGAACATTTCGAGAATCTAAAAAAGAAATATCTCAATCATCTTGTTCTTGTAGTGTATAGATGTGTACTCAGTGCTTAGTAGCAGTCTGAACCCGTGACCTTCGACACTCAAGTCTCCCTTCACTTCTCTTATTCACTCTACACTCTCCCCCATCTGCCATCTTCACATAGCCATCTCCAATTGATCTCATCAAGATGCCAGGCTCGGTGGGAAGTGATGAATTCGATGATGACGAGGTACAGTAAACCCCCATCCTAACACACATCCCAGAACTGCCAATCTAACTAGTAAATATGCTACAATTGCAGGACTTCATTCTGGACATTGACGGAATCCAAGCCCATGGCATTGGCGCAGCTGACATCACCAAGCTGAAAGCCAATGGATTCTACACTATTGCTGTCAGTATCTTAACCCTAGCCACCTCATCTCTGAGCATATTCCAAGCATATGCCATCCAACAAACCTAACCACTCATCCAGTCCGTCCATGGTGCCACCCGCAAAACCCTCCTAAAAATCAAAGGATTCAGCGAGGTCAAAGTCGAAAAAGTCAAAGAAGCAATTCAGAAATGCCTCCCAACAGCCTCGGGTTTCATCACAGCAATGGAACTCCACCACCAGCGCAAGAAAGTCGTCCGTATATCAACCGGCAGCAAGCAATTCGATTCAATCCTCAACGGGTGAGTAGAATACCTCCCGCCCCCATCCCCAAATCCAAATTGAAAGCCAACCCCCATCTAACACCATACCAGCGGCTTCCAAAGCATGAGCATCAGCGAAGTCTTTGGTGAATTCCGTTGTGGCAAAACGCAACTCTCACACACGATGTCTGTAGTCGCCCAACTACCAAAGGAATCCGGCGGAGCAGCCGGCAGAGTCGCCTACATCGACACAGAGGGCACGTTCCGACCCGAGCGCATTGCTCAAATCGCCGAACGATTCGGAATCGACCCGGACACAGCACAGGAGAATATTTCCTATGCGCGCGCGCTAAACAGCGAGCACCAGCTTGAGCTGCTGAATACGCTTTCCCAGGCGTTTGCCAGTGGTGAGTATCGGTTGCTTGTTATTGATAGTATCATGAACTGTTTTCGGGTTGATTATTGTGGGCGTGGGGAGTTGGCGGATCGGCAGCAGAAGTTGAATCAGTTTTTGATGAAGCTGGCGCATATGGCTGAAGGTGAGATTTTTATGTGTTTTTGGTGGCTGTTGACTGATTTGGTTTGACTTGCAGAATTCAACGTTTGTGTCTTGATGGTGAGTAAGATCTTATGTCTTTCGAGGTGTTGTGGCTCACACTTCGGGGCAGACAAACCAGGTCCAGAGTGACCCTGGTGCTAATGCTCTCTTTTCTGGTGCTGATGGTCGCAAGCCCGTTGGTGGCCATGTTCTTGCTCATGCTTCCACTACTCGTGTGCTCCTGAGGAAGGGTCGGGGTGACGAGCGAGTTGCGAAGATACAGGATTCTCCTGGTGAGTACGTCGATATATTCCAGGCTTGATGAATTTGCTAACGTATTTTAAGACTGCGCTGAGCGTGAAGCAATTTATATCATTACCAATGGCGGGATCAATGATCCTGACAAGGCTTGAAGGTGATCTGGTCGAGACGATGTATGGATGTTGAGGGAAATGCTTTGAAGTCACGATTTTCATGATGTATCCGGTCTGATGCTGCGATTATCTTATACCATTAATCACTGTATATCATAGATAATAGTTTAGAATATTAAAGAGTCCAAATTATATTCATGTCGATGTAATCGAAGCCCTAACTATCAAGCTCACCGCCTAAACCGCCGCTCTGACACCCCGGCAAAATTCTGTGCCAAGAGCAAATCTGCAGAAAAAGTTCAGCTCAATCAACGCAACAATCCGGCAATCAAACCTCCATTCAAAATGAAGGTCGAATCCGTGCAGGTGGAAGGGTACACTACCCTACCCGTGCAGCTCCCATCAACCCCCCTCTTCCCCAAACCCGCAACACACTACCTCTACCTCCGACCACACGAGCCCCGAATTCCAGACCCAGATTCCACCCGCTCCCTCTTCATCGTCAACGTCCCAATCGACACAACAGAAGCGCACCTCCGTCACTTCTTCGGCACACAACTCGCAGCAGGCCGCGTAGAAAAAGTCCAATTCGAAGATGTGCAGACCAAAAAGCGCGCAGCGGCAACAACCACAGAAACAAACCTTACCCAATCGAAAAAGAAGCGCAAGCGCGTAACAGCCGATGACTTCGAACGTTACCTAGACGACATCACCCTCCCGTCAACCTGGGACCGCAAACTGCAAAAGAGCGGCGCCCACGCAGTCGTCATCTTCGCCGACAAGCCCAGCATGGAATCCAGTCTGAAGGCCGCCACCAAGGCCGCCAAGCGCGGCACGACCATCGTCTGGGGCGAAGGTCTGCCAACAGACCGTATCCCCGTCCTCGGATTGAACCGCTACGTCGCGCACGAGCGCATGCAGTATCCCGATCGGGGGACGTTGCTGCGGGCAGTGAATGAGTTCATGACTACGTTCACGCAGGTATCTGAGGCTCGCAAGCGCGAGGATCACAAGCGTCTTGCTGTGCCGGATGAGGATGGATTCGTTACTGTTTCGCATGGACCGAAGTTGAATTCCGTGGCGAGGGAGGAGGAGATGAGGGAGCTTGTTGAGAAGCAGAAGAAGAAGGGTGAGGGACTTGAGGACTTTTATCGGTTCCAGTCTCGGGAGAAAAGGAAGGAGAGACAGAACCAGTTGCTTAGGCGCTTTGATGAGGATAAGAAGAAGTTGGCGGAGATTAAGGCTCGGAAGGGGAAGATTCGGGTAGGTTTTTTTCCTTCTATCTCCTACTTGTTCGGTTGGTTTAGTGGTTGTGCTGACTTTTTTATACAGCCTGAGTGATCTCGTGCATGATAGCATGGCGTTTTGGGTGTCTTTTTTCGATGGCAGGATAAAAGGTTCGAGGTGGTGTCCTATGTACATGTGAATGTGAGTATTGCTTTTGCTTTTGTTTCTTTTTGTGATGTTCGCTCCGATGATGAACACGCTGGGGCCATAGTAGCGAAACGCGCTTGCCCGCTGTTATGCCATGACTGCAAACACCAGCTTAATTATATCTTCTCGCCTTCTGAACTGGAGTTTGTGTTCTGTTGGGATTTATTGTGCTTCTTGGTGTTGCATATGCTAATTGTGGTTCAAAATAGGTTAGATGCATACATACGTGTTATCTCAATATCAACAGTTTATGATCCAATTATATACGCTATGTATATGTATAAATGTAGTTCATGTTGTCCGTATCATAGCCAACACGTAGACCTAAGATGCCTCTAATTCCGGATCCGCACAGACCAACGCTTGGCGTTACATCCCACCTCTGGAGAAACGGTACGTCTGACTATGGATGGGATTGATAGCCCTGCCAAAGTATAGAACAATTTGAAAAGATCAGAGACTAATGGCTATAGTTGACTGTATCATGTGATACTACTCTCGGCTAAATCGCATTCTCCAAGTACGACCTAAAGCAAAAGCTTCACAAGATATATCCAGCAAGAAGAGCCCTATCCCACCAGCATACAGCACCTCTTTGGGGGGTTTCTACTCCTCTTTTCCATCAAAACCCACCAAAACTAGGAAATCTGATCGCTGGACCCGAAAAATTATACCTATATCAAAACAAAAGCAAAACAAACCCAAGATGTCTCCCGCCTCAATCCGAAACGAGCAAGACACCGACTCGGACTCTGACGTCGAGTTCGAAGATGTCCCAATCTCCCTCCCAAACAGATCAAGAAACAGGGAAGATACAGACATTGCGATAACCATCCGCTCGAACCCGCAACCACAATGGATACCAACTCTATCACTCCCACAACAGCGAAGCCAACCCATCCCCTCCGGCTCCCAGGAGGAAACCCAACTCCGAGGCCAAATCAGCACTGGCATAGAGAGAGTTACGTACCGCAAAATGAAATCCGACATGGGCATGGACGCACCGGATACGCCCGCGTCGGAACGCAGGTATGATGGCTTCAGAGAGCTTGCCGCGGATGTGGAGGGTCTTATTGACATGCTTTGGGCGTCAGCAACACGTGAGTTTGATATCTTATGCATGAACTAAGTTGTAGAAGTGAGGTTTATATTGTTTTACACTATATTCCTTTTTCTTTTTTCTTCTTCGTTGTCTTGTTACATGTATATCCTACATTCTAACTAATCCATGCAGCGGCAATCCAAACCGAAGCCCTCATAACCTTAGCAGGCCTAACCCAAACATCCCTCCCAGCCTTTCCCTTTGATGCCCCACCAACACTCAACATCCTCCACAAGCTCGACTCCGTCTTCGCAGCGCTATGTACAGGCACACACCCACTCACCGACGCTGTTCTTCCCGGCGCACAGCCGGGCCAGTCTCTTGTGACGGAGACGCAGAAAGTGCGGATTCGGAGTTTGGCGGAGAGAACTAGGTATCAGGTTTTTTCTTGTTTGGCGAATTCGAGTGAGAGAGGTAATGCTACTGCTACTCTTGCTAACGGTCATGGGGGTGGATATGGGGATGTGGATGTGGATAACGAGGACGAGGAAAGTGGCGATGAGGTCGATGAGCCGTGGATGTTGGAGGCCACGCGGGTTTATGAAAAGAGTCTTATGTTACTTGCGGAGCAGGATCCTGAGGTGGAAGCTGGAATGGATGAGTTTAACTGTTTGTAATTGTTGTATATATTCTATCCTGTCGCCTGATTTATGTGTTTGAAGGAGTATTTTGTAGTATATATCCTATCCTGTTGCCTGATCTATGTGTTTTGCCCATGCGGCTCCAACTAATAAATAGATGTGAAGAGGATATTTTTAGAACGAGCCTCTTGCAATTACGTCGGTGTACATTCAATTATACGAGGAAGACGCTCAGGCCACACACAAAATAGTGACATCCAACATAGTTCTGAAGGCAAGTCCCACTTCAATTGGACCCAGTAGATATTTACTGGCTTTCTATTGTACTGATATTATACCTATGGATCCAGATATTTCTAGAAACTTCTAGCTCACAAAGAAAGAAAAAAAAATCTGGACCGAAAAATAAAAAACAAGGGCCAGTGGGGTCCAGGCAAAAGAATATTGATTTACTCGCATACAAATGCCGACTCTGAATCGGTAATCAAGTAATGGAGTATACAGTAAGCGTTCCCGTACCTTGAATTCAGGTATCAGTCACAGACAGGGCTGGCACTCTCTTTGGCTAGAATGGAGTGAACTAAGTGGATGTGAGCCCTGAAAGTGGGGGCTATTGGGGCCAGCTAGTGGCCTGGGGCTGCGCAGCTCGGGGACTGCAATGACCAGTAGTATGTCCGAGGGGCTATAATTTAGATGTACGATATACTTTTTACATCGTATACTTGATTATACTTTGACTTGTTTTAGTTTTCCATGTGAAATCAAATAAGATAGTAACTGTATTATGATGGGGATATAAATTGTACAACATATGCACGTTGGATGATATTTCCGATGGTGGAAACGAATTCCTTTGTTTCCATGGTTCGGATATTTGGGTATAACTTGGATTGGAATATGTTGAGCTATAGGAATGATTTATGTACGTTGTAGTAGTTCATACGAAGTATAGGATATTTAAAGCTACTATACCTTGTTAACTCCAATGTACTTCGTACAAGGCTCCCAGTCTGCCGTGTCTTACCATGCAAGGGTTGGATTAGCTTATTTCCATAGAGCGGAGGGGGTTAGAGCTGAAACCTAACATCCCACCGTTATGAATATCCCTTGCGCACAACCCCTTCCATATGGATATCATACAATGTACAATGTACAATGTATGGAGTAACTACTCCGTACATACTAGGAAACATGTCACTAGACCATGTTTATGGATCTTAAAAACGCGTCGCGTACCGCGTAAAGTGAAATAAGCCAAGTTGAATGGAATGAAAATCTCTGCTGGTAAAGTACAACAGAGTAATTCCAATACGAGCGGACCCCCAAGCCCGGCCAATAAGAACAGAACTCCGCATAAAAAGCCTCCCATGGTTCTGATGGAGCCTTTTTAATTATTATTATTTTTTTCTTTCTTTCTCTCTTTGACGTCTTTTTTTTCTGGTCCTATTCTTTCATGACCGGACGGGCGCGGCTGACGTATTTTGAAAATACGAAAGGAGGGGGATGACCAGTTTGAAAAATCCTTGCTTGCGGCTTAGGGCACAGGAAATGGATTAGAGAACCTTGCTTCGAGAAAAAGAGCTCTCTATGGTGTTTGTTCTCCAGCTTCAGGGCTGCAGCTAGACAGGAACCCAAGTATCTGGGGTGACCTTGCTGTATTGAAATAGAATTACCGTATGGGGCTGGTTCCATGGTTCTGGGGCATCTGTTCTCCAAGGTTTGTGTTTCTTGCTTATTTGTGACCTTCCAAGGTTCCAAGGTTCCAAGGTTGGGATATTACTTGGGTATAGACAGAATATGTCCAACTACACATAGTTCTAATGCATGGATAGCCCTAGTTTCATATATACTTCATATATAATATGAGATATCAGATTCATTAACTGTGAATAATATGTACCCAACAGGTACCTGATCCTGCTCCGCTTACTCCGTACTTACTCAGCATATGACGATGACCTCGGGAGAGGCCCACACAGACCTGATCGGTTGACAAGTCACATTGCGAGGACGGCCACAGGTCCTTGCAGATTTCATGCATTGGGGCTTCCTGCCCCTTGTCCTTCTGTCTTTCACCGAGATTTGATCGAATTTTGTTTAGATCTTGTTTTTTGGGGGGGTTTCTCTATCACATAGTTGCTTTGTCTAAGTATACGGATAAGCGGAACAGTCGACTCTAAAAAAGACTAGGGTCGATCATCGGCAAAGAACTTTCCAAGGTTGGATGTAGACCTCGGGTCAGAGGCTATGATGTATCATCTTCAATTCTACCGGCCTTCCCGGGATCCTGGAACGATGAAGAATCTAGCAAGCCCCCGCATGAGTGATATCATGCAACGTTGACAGGAATCTGGGGACAGCTTGGATAGTTAGTATATAATGTATTATGTAGGTTTATATATTGTAGATGTCTGTCTGTACCTGCCTCCGGTCAAGAAAGGAAGGTTCGATCGGCAGAGGCAAGGCACTCTACACTACCGGTTAAAGTGTACGGCTAGTTGATAGATGTTATGCTATTGATATGTATGCTGTACTGATAAAACGTACAAAAAGGGTTTATATATTCTACCCTATATTTTACATACTACTACAAAGTACACTACATAGTTCTACTATGTAATGACTACATACTTCAACTCTGGAACGGAACATACCATACTTTGTAATACACATACCATACACAGACTCACGTAATGCGTTTCCCACTTCCCCTCTCTCTTCATCTCGCGAGATTTCCAATTCTTCATTTTCTTCTTTTCCCCTCCTACACTTCCCCTCCCTTTTCTTATTGTTCGAAGATCTCGGTTTCAATTTTCTGTTTAGTTATCGGGAGTTCTGCTTTTCCTCCCTTGTTGCCGATTACTCTTTTTTTGCCTCGCGCATTTCCAGTGTTTTCCCAGGTTTTCCTCAAATCATCTAGGTAAGTTGCTTTGTCTTATTCGCATATCGCATATCGCATCTTGTCTTTCATTTGAATACAACCCCAAATTTGCCTCTCCCCATACATATATCACCTGGCGCAGCGCAGCGCAGATTAGCCCTAGAGCGCAAGCTTCTTTGCAGGGTTCTCCACCATTCTAGTATGGTGATTCGCCTACGCTTCGACGCCTTCTCGCCTTGACCAGCGCTTTCGGGACAGCCGATTATCTACCGGTCGCACGCACCCCAACCTCAAAAACATCGTCAATCTGAGGAATCGGTCAGATCTGGATGCCTGAATTGCCCGAAAATTGTGCTGGAATTGAGAGGGTGGACGGTCGCATTCGGACATCAAACCGAGACGACGGAAACGGTCGACGCATGATGATCGCCTCGCATCCGAGTGGAAACAAGTCTATTTTCGTCTCGCGCATCCGATTTTCGCCCTTGAGATTGTTCGTCTTCGGCCAATCCACCCTCCAAATTCATTAGTTACCATCTCATTGATATGAGATGCTGCCTGAAGCCCTGGTCTTGGCGAATTCCGGCACCACTTTTTGAGGCTCGGAATCATATATGCGCCTGAAGAACCCGTCTGGCAAAATGCTGACTACCCACTTTTTTTTTCCTTCCGCATCGTTTCATTCACTTGCCTTGATTGTCTTTGGCTTTGTCTGCTTTTCACCTCTCACTTCAATTTCTTTACTTGCGCCTGTGCAGATTTGCTTATAATTTGAAAGGAAATTGACACAATCTAACATTCTTTCTTCACTAGCCTTTTACGCCCGTCTTTGCTTGGCTTCGTTACGACTTGATCTCACGCCGGTCTTTCTTTAACGACTCCACGAAGTTCTAGTCGCTCAGCCATCTTATATTCTTACATCGACTTTTTCGGACTTTGATTCTTGCAACCATGTCTTACAACGGCTACGAAAACTTCCCTCAGCAGGACCCCGCCGCCGCTGGCGCCCCGGCTCCTGTTGACACCACCATGACCGGCCAGGCCGACCCCTCCGCCGCTCAGTTCCAGGGCCCTCCTCCTGGCGAGCCCAACTCCGCTCCCGTCCCCCAGCAGGGTGCCGATGGCAAGACCACCCTCTGGATGGGTGAGCTCGAGCCCTGGATTGACGAGAACTTCATCCGCAACCTCTGGTTCCAGATGGGTGAGCAGGTCAACGTCAAGATGATCCGTGACAAGTTCTCTGGGTAAGACGCCGTAATTATCATTTGAATGTTTCGGATTGTTTCTAATGTGGGTAGTAGGAGCAATGCTGGATACTGCTTCGTCGACTTCGCTTCCCCTGCCGCCGCTGCCAAGGCCCTTTCTCTGAACGGCACCCCCATGCCCAACACCAACCGGGTCTTCAAGCTCAACTGGGCTACCGGTGGCGGCCTTGCTGATCGCAGGTAAGCGAGAATCTCATTCGTTTCGGTTTCCTCCCGTCTTTAAAACTGACCCCCCCGTCCCAGCCGTGATGACCGTGGCCCCGAGTACTCCATCTTCGTTGGTGACCTCGGCCCTGAGGTGAACGAATACGTCCTCGTCTCCCTCTTCCAGAGCCGCTTCCCCTCTTGCAAGTCTGCCAAGATCATGACCGACCCCATCAGCGGCATGTCCCGCGGCTACGGCTTCGTTCGCTTCTCCGATGAGAACGACCAGCAGCGTGCTCTCACCGAGATGCAGGGTGTCTACTGTGGCAACCGCCCCATGCGTATCTCCACCGCTACCCCCAAGAACAAGGGTCCCGGTGTTGGTGGCAACGGTGGTGCTGCCATGGGTATGCCCGGTCCCGCTGGCATGTACCCTCCCATGGGTGGCCCTCCTATGCCCTTCTACGGTGCTCCCCAGCCCATGAACCAGTTCACAGACCCCAACAACACCACTGTTTTCGTCGGTGGTCTGTCCGGCTACGTCACCGAGGATGAGCTTCGCTCTTTCTTCCAGGGCTTCGGAGAAATCACCTACGTCAAGATTCCCCCCGGAAAGGGCTGTGGTTTCGTCCAGTTCGTCCAGCGCCACGCCGCTGAGATGGCCATCAACCAGATGCAGGGCTACCCCATTGGCAACTCCCGCGTTCGTCTGAGCTGGGGCCGCTCCCAGAACAACTCCGGCCCCGCCGGCAGCCCCTACCGCCCTGCTCCCCCGCCGCCTCCCATGTACCCCTCCATGGGCATGCCCCCGGCCCACCAGTATGGCGGGTTTGCCCCCATGAAGGTGAGCGATCACCCTGGCAGCCCGATCCCGGATCAAATGTGAAGCAGGCGGTCGGCTGACACACTCTTCCAGTAAGCGTTTCCCTTTGATTGAAAGCACCAGCAGGAGTTATTTGTGTCATTCCAACGATGATTCTATTGTGTAACAAATTCGTTCCCTGGTTTCTTGGCCAAGGCTATAGCTCTTGATGAGCATTTGTCTCCTGTGCTACGCATTTCCTTTTTACGTGAGCGCTATTACCTTAGCAAGATCTGAGCTTTATCCCCTTTCTGATCTGTCTTGTTCTTATGTATCTTTTCCATTTTCCCCCCCTCGTCTTTCCGCCCACACTACTCCTTTGTGCCCTTTTCGTATTTTATTATTTTTCTTTATCTTATTTTCGATGTCTCTCTGCCCTTATGCTAACGGGGTTTCCCGCCACTGGGTCTTTGTCTGCGTGTAATGGAAGTCCGAATTGTCATGCGCTTCTTTTTCCCTTATACTCCTTGGGCAGGCATTCTGCGAAAAGTTCCATTTCCCCCCACCGTTTTACCACCTTATTTCCTTTGTTCCTTTTTTTTTTCTTTTTTTTTTTCTTTTCTTCAAGCAGCTAAATTGAATTATGTTCGCTTTGAGAATCTTCGCGTTGGGCTTTTTTTTTTACTACCCTTGTTCCTTGCTAAGACTGATTGCTGGCTTGTACAACACGCTTTCTTTCGTGCGCCTCAGCGTTTGTCGATTCTAAATTCCTTTGATCGTATGCAATAATGTCCTGTACGCTTGTTTGGTGTTTGCATTGCACTATCGGGCTCTTCATTTCCCTGGTATTGTATTGTCGGCCCGTTGCTTCTGGATCTACCTATATAAGCATTGCCCCTATGGCTGGTCCGATAGGTGGAGGTTTCGATGGACTCGAGTATAACTGGGTGCTCTGGTAGTTGGTCCCTGGTGGTTGTCTTGCTGTTTGATGTCTGATGTCTGATGTCTTGAGAATCTACTGGGTTAGGGCTAAGATTTGACCCGGACTGATTTTGAGACAATTCTTCTGGATTCTTGTAAACTTCACGTATCTAGCCATGGCTCTTCTCATATTTCTCATGCCTGGTGTTCTCCTATGGCTGCGGTCCTAGGGCTAGTGTTCACCGCATGAATATGATAAGTGAATATCCAAATTGTACGGACCTCAGTACCTACATGTAGGTACTTCCAAGTTTCTTATCGATAGCCGTATCGATAAGTCAATAAGAGCAGAAGAACACCGCCTACCATTCTTGGAATACTGTCCAGGGCAACGACGACTATGTAGACGGGTATACCGCCTACACGACTGCCATAATTGGTATATTCAGTATACCTACCAGCGTCGAAATGGACAAACCATCTTCTTTTTACCCTCGACACCACCATGCGCTACAGAAACTGGGATGTCCTGCTGTTCCCTGAAGGCTCAAAGGTTCCTATCCAAGAGTTCAAGACACAATGCTTTGTGACCAAGGACAAAGACTCGCCCTATTTACACAGTGCAGTCTTCCTTGGACATCATGCACACCATCCCGAATCAGCCGTCTTCAACCAGCTGCCAGTTCTCACAACATTCATCCCAAGTCTGCCCAAAGACAGTCCGTTCCAAGTCTCAGTTCATAGTTGGGAGAAGCCACGCCCCAGTGTTCAGATCGAGTCCATTATGGAGCCTGAGGACGTTTTGCTCTTCGAGGTTCGGATCTTCATTGATGGGGTTTTCGCTGCGTGAGTTTACGATCTATGCACTCTGATGATGATGAGATTGAGCTGATTCCCTCTAGGGGTAGTATCTATGGGCAGAGAACTATTTGGCCACAGATTATGGGTAAGTTGCGCGCGCTTACATTGTCGGGACGCTTACATCGGCGTAACGCGGCTCTAGAAATTTCCCCTCGATTGCCTGAATTCGTCTTTTTCATTCCCCTTTCAATGAATAGTCACTGACATCCATTTGGCAGATCTGAGTTCTAGTATGGAATCCTTCTTTGTCTCTTTCTTTGATTACAACTTCTCACAGTCCATGCAGGTCTTGACCGGGATGGAAACCAAGACACCCTTCGATTCCCTCCATTTCATCCTGAGATACTACAGCAAAAGCATTGGGATGCCGGAGATTCTCAAGGTAGAATCAAGATTGTTATTGCGGAAGGTTTCTCTCGCCCCAATCGCTCGCCGCCATTCGAACGATACAAGCATGTCATCGCTTTTTCTTTCCAGCATGCGCCACTAGATGTACTGGAGTTCTCTGATATTGCTTGGCCCAATCCAAATATGTGGCTTGCTATGCCGAACGCATCCCGGTATGGATCGGCAGCAAGATATGGCACCTCCAAGGTAGTTGGTGATGGTGCCCATGGGCATTCGCCAAGCAAGCCTTGCAGACCCGAACATCGAATTACAATCACGGCTAACACGAGTAGCCAGTCCAGCAGCAATGCAGCTACTTACAGCGGTAGCGCTTCATCAACTTACAATGCTTGGACCCCTAACCGTGGGTTTCCTATCCCCTCCATGCAGTGGAATGGCTATCCAGAACCTCGATGGGACCCGCATGATGCATACATCGTGGAACCTGTCATGGATGCCTTCGTTGATGATAGAGCATGGCGGCAGCGTGGCGCTCGATCCTCTCGTGAAGACATCCCAATGCCAGATTATGCTTCCACGGGATCGACCAGCAGTCGGGCCATCTCTTCCAGCATGACTGGGATGAGCTACGAACACAGCAAGCAGCCTAGCATCAATTCCTGCCTTGAGGATGAGCAATATAATGACCTGATCCAAACTCTGACACCAACAAAGGCGCCTCCAGTGGGTACTCGCGCACCCTCTAATACTCCATCCACTGCCACCACTGCGATTTCTGCCTCAAAGCTTTCTGCTGCAGCTGAAGCTCGATCTGCAGGCTACAATACTCGAAGCCGCCGTGCATCTGCACTCAGAGAGATATCGCAACCAAGCACCCGTGATGTTTCGGGATCGAGCGAGCCCAAGAACTTGACTCCATCCAAGATTGGAGCGAGTCCAAGCGATAAAGTCCGGAGCAAAAAAGAGACTCAGAAAGAGACCCAGAAAGAGGCTAGCCAGGATACCCCCAAAGCACAGTCTAAGAGTAAGGTGTGCAACTCCAAGGACGACGAAAATGCGCAGGACGAGAATGAGTCGGTTTTTTAGGATCGAACTGGCTATGATGGCGCTGATGATGCTTTCTACATTATACTTACCTACCTCATTCATTTGTTTTAGTTCAGTCTTGACATGAAGCCGGCATGTATCTTTTATGCGAGCTTCAATCAATACACTTTTTACTCTGTGGAGTCGACAAGTGTGCTGTTGTATACAAACTTCGATCAACATCCCTACTTCATTCATATGTATGAAGTTCACAGGTGAATGTATAAACCCTCATACGAATTGCGAAACGTCTTTGACTAATCACAATTAACAGGTTTATGTTCTATATGAAGTTCAACTTTTCCGTATTTTGCTGTAGAAGTTGAGAAGTGTACTAGTGTATACTAACCTCAATCCATACTTTTACACTGCTTGAAGCAACAGATATGCTTTATGCAATCTTCGATCAACCTTTCACCCATGAAGTTGACAGGTAAATGTATAAAACTTTGTCCAAAGCAATTGATACACTTTCTACTAATCTAACAAGCACCCTGTTCTATGGAATTCAATTCCTATATCTGTTCAGTCAACAATGATACATCTTTGCGAACTTCAAGCATGCCTTCCACTACTTGGAGTTGATAGGTATACTATTCAATGCGAACTTCAATCAATTCATGTTCCACTGCATGATATTACGAAGGGACTTTATCACATCTTTCATTATGTGAAAACCGCTCTATGCATGCAACGCCTATACTACTGCCACTGTTTATCCAAACATAATATAACAATGGCAATACTATGGGCATTGGATACCTGGCAGTACGTGATGGTACAAGGCGGCTTCGAACCTCGTGCCTTCTCAACCGCCTTCTCAACCGCCTGGTTGACGTGAAGAGGTCTACCCTGCGACAATGAAACGGCTTCGCTTTCTTTCTTTCCCCTCCTCTCTCCTTTCTTTTCTTCGTCTTCTTCTTCTTGTCTCTTTTCCCATCTTCGTGCTTCATCTTCTGCGTGGCTCTTCTCCACAAGAGTATCTACCATCCGTCTTCTTTCTTCATTCTTGAATACCAACCTGTACCACAATGCCTGGCAGCCAGGACGAACCTGTGGCCGGGATGGAAGCATCGTCCATCCCAGGCTCAGCCTCCAGCTCGCCTATGTCGATCTCTTCGACCTCGTCGACCCCAGACATTTGACAACCTCCCTCGATCCTTGCCTCTCACTTGCCTAGCAGCCAGGACAACACTGTGTCTGGGATGTCAGTCTCCAGCTCGTCTATGATCATGTCTTCGACCTCGATAACCCCGGAAATTCAGCAGCCTCTATCAATCCCTGCCTCTGGCTTGCCTGGCAGCCAGGACGACACTGTGGCCGAGGTGGAAGCATCCTCCACCCCGGTTCAGCCTCTAGCTTGTTGATGTCAATCTCTTCGACCTCGTCGACCCGAGACATTCAGCAACCTCTATCAATCCCTGCCTCTCACATGCCTAGCAGCCGGGGAGACACTGTGTCTGGGATGTCAGCCTCTAGCTTGTCTATGTCAATCTCTTCGACCTCGTCGACCCCAGACATTCAGCAACCCCCATCGATGCCTGCCTTTGGCATCACACCTCCTTGGCGACGTATGAACCAAGTCAACGCCACTGATGGCGGGCCCAGCGCATCGTCTTCTGGCCAACAGAGCCAGCAACATTTCCCTGGTCCCCTCCTTATTGGCCAGGCGGTCCGCTCTGAGGACATTCACCACCCCAGGCCAGTCAGGCCCATCTCTGGGGTTGCTTCCATGTGGGAAGCTGAAGGTTTTGTTGACGAGCTATAAGTAGCTCGCTGTTTGTTTATTGAATTTCAATCAAGCTTTCTTCTGTCCTCTCTTTGCTTCATAGTACCCAGGTCACATCTCCTCCTGCTTGTAGGTCTTTTGTAGTTCCGATCCCATACAGTCTATAGGTAGAAACCCATACTACATAAACAAAGAAGTATGTATTATTCCCACCGCCTTGATTTATAGTTAGTTAGGTAGCTTCTTGAGAATCAATGCTTCTTATTCTCACTTTGCTCCCTAGTAGTCAGGTCATAATCACTAACTATTACTTCACTTCAGCTTTAATAATCGCTTGCCAACTGAAGGTTAAATGTCCCAAGTTCATTTTTGGGAGAACTTATGGTCCCTTAGTTGCGGGCAGATGTGTATTCAAAATGTTCGCCAAGATCAATATCACCGATATTGCGTGGAATCGTCATGCTTCCACCTCGCTCGAGTTCGACACAGTCAACCTGTGACACTGGGGTATTTAGAGACATGACAAGAAAGCATTGCATCAAGTACATCCTGAACTTGACCAAGGGGGAAAATAGCCCGATCGAGTTCGATTTGAGAAATGCACAACCCTCGCCACCTTTCAATGGAATATGTGGATTGGTAACTAAGTCTTGCCTTGATCGTCTTGTCTTACCTTTCGTATGGGACATTTAAGACTGGGCACCGTCTTAAATGCCCAATGGAGATGGAGATAGGTAGACAATGAATTCTTTTCAACAGAACCTACATTAGTATGGAGCAATTGCTTGGATATGGTGTAGATTTCCCTGTTTCTTTCCCTGTAAATGCCATTGATCGAGTATCCATGGTGGATTCTGTGACATAAAAGACATCAGTAAATTTTTCTATTCGGCAAATGGAATAGAAATCTCTCAAGGCATGTAGTTGACTATATCATATTTCAAATTTTTCATGGCTTGTTCTAGCATAATATCCCAATAATAAGCAAGAATATCTTGGTAAATACATGTAAAGAGAATATTTGAGCACTCATCTCAAAAGACATCTCGACCGACTTCAAAATAGACTTCAAAGGGTATGACAAGGCCGCATAAGTGGCCGACTATATTATCTAGAAATCTTCCGTGTCACAGCTACTTTCTAGGGCACATTCTAAAATATCGACTGAAGCCATACAACAAAAGGCTGTCAATGGATAAGTCTAGTCAAAGTTCGACACGAATATTCTTAGAAGAATACAATTTGATACAAGAGAAAGTCAAAGGAAAATATGATTGATTTGTACTATCTAAAGCCAGGGGGCTGTCCCTAGCGAAATGGTTCAAAGAATGGTTCAAGAGACAAGACAAACAAGCAGACCGAGGTCATACTTGCAGAGTGTAAGTATCTGTCTCATAAGCGAGATTCCCAGTTCAATGAATCAAGCGTTTAAAACTGCCCTCAGAGTTCTCTTCATGGGACAACCAGAGTGCTGTCTCTGGTGAAAAAGTTCCAAAGATTTGGGTTTTGATGGCGTCGGTGGCCACCCAAGGATTCTCTGAATCCTTGCATGTATGCCCTCAGAATTGCTTCTTCGGGACCCGTGTGTATCCTTCGCCTCCCATCTCGTAGGACGATATCGATAGCCCCGGTGGGTGACTGTCCTATGTATCCTCCCCCTTTCTGTCATCGGAGTCCTCCCCCTCTGGGACGAGACCACGCCGGGTCTCAGATAGCCCATCCTTCACTCCCCAAAGACGTGTTACGCTTGCGCGCAACGTCAATGCCCTCAGATTCCTCTTCACTGGGCAACCACAGTCCCCTGGGTCGAGGCCACGCTGGGTCTCAGATAGCCCATCACTCAACCCTCCCTGGGACGATACCACAGTGGGTTTCAGATAGCCCAAGGTTTGGCTCCCCTAGGACGATACCACAATGGGTTTCAGATAGCCTAGGTTGCACCTCGCCGTAGACATGATACGCTTGCGCGCAATCAGACGTCAAAGGATGCCCTCAGAGTCCTCTTCACGGGGCAAGCTCAACTCAAAGACTGCGTCGAGGATTGGTTGATGAGTGTACCTTTGAAAGTAGCATTGTCAGTCATATGTTGTCACATGAGTACACAGGGACTTATCAATGATCATTTCGGTGACACAAAGAGACCCATGGCCATGTCAGAGCATATAAGCATCAGCATTGGAAAGTTTGATCAGTGGCAGCTCTTAGAACAGGAGTCTCACAGTGGACATGAGCCCTCGAAGGGTTGTCTCGAAACCTGTCTCCAATCAAAGGTCAAAAGACTGAGATGAGGGTACCTGATGAACCAAAAGTGTCAGCTAGTTGTCGTCTCATGTGCATGTGCAGAAGGAACATACCGTAGATATTCCAGATGCACTGCGAATTGACTAGTGTCACACAATTCCTGTGCCCAGAGAATATGTCAGAGCATACAAGTATCAGCATGGTGCAGCATGATGAGGGAAATCATCAGGGCAAGACTCACAGGAACAGACTCATGAAGTCCAGAGGTGGAAGAAAACAACAAGAAACACATGTCTCAATCTTCATAGGAGTGGTACACTGTTAGATAGTTAACAGAGGAGAATAGAATAGACACAGAGTGGAACAAACAATGAGTGTTGTTCACAGGATAAATAAAGGACAGGGAACAGAGGGTAGGTAGAGGGTAGAGAGGGTGCCACCGTAAGTATAGAGGACAGAAGACAGAAGACAGAAGGTAGAGACGGTAGAGGAGAGAGGATATAACATCATGAGGAGAGACGATGGCGAGGATGGAGAGAGGGAAGAGGGGAGAAGATAGTGAGGATGGAGAGGAGAGGGGAGAGGGAAGAGGGAAGAGGGAAGAGGGAAGAGGGAAGAGGGAAGAAGATGGTGAGGATGGGGGATTGAGGGTGACGAGGATGGAGATGATGACGAGGATGGAGAGGGTGACGAGGAGAGAGGAGGGGAGAGGATGGAGAGGGTAGAGGAGACAGGATGGATGATGGCGAGGAGAGAAGAGAGGGTATAGGATGGATGATAGAGGGTGGATTATGGCGAGGATGGAGGGTGGGGAGGATGAAGAGAGAAGATGAAAAGGACGGGAAGAGAGGAAATGGGAGGCCTTTTATATGTGAAGACTGACCCCTTCCTAATTAGGGAAAGTAGCATTTGGGCTACTTCCGACTTCCAATCTAGTAATACACAGGATAAACATGACATACTACGTGTCTTTAGGTAAGAATGGGAGACTGGTAACGTCAGTAGATAGTATTACGACCAGGCTACTAGGCTATATGTCTACATGTACAACCCCCAATACTGGAGACTGGAGACTGGAAAGTAGAAGGTGGACGGAGAACATTGTCCATATATGAATTCGGATCCATATTTTGAGACCAGAAAATAACATGAAACGCATAGCCATAACGACATCGAAACTCCTGGAGTCTGCTAGCAGGGGAATATCCAAATCCAATATCAATCCGGTCACATCCCATCAACACACCAACACCAACACCAACAGCTACAACAAGTAGAGTCGTGAAATTCCGGGGTCTTTTAAGTTGGTTCCTTTTTGTACCAGTCCCATTTCCGCTCTGCTCACTCCTATGTCCGGTTCCAGTGACACAGGCTGGACGGGGGTAAAGGGGTATCTGGGTCTGATCCGAGAGCACAGGCAAAGTGTAGAGAAGAAAAAAAGAGAAGAAAACCACAGACTATATAGCCCGGGTGATAGAAGTAGAGAGATGGAAGAGTCCACTACCAGTGATACTGGTAATAAAAGACGAAAAGAAAAGAAAGAAAAAACGGCCGGCATTTGTTGGAAGATTGTTTGAGATGGAGCAAAAGAAAGAAGATGAATGACAGGAAAAAAAAAGAAAGAAAGAAAAAGGAAATCGTTGGAAATGAAAGGAGAAAGTGCACTGGATCAGCCGTAGGGAACTGGACTTCATACTGAGAGGTATCAATGTTGCCCATACAGAGCAAGGAATTAAGTAACCACATCCACAAGTAATAATAGTAATAATAGAAAGAAAGGAAGAGAAGCCAAGAAAACTCGTAGGTCACAGTGCACTAATCTCGAATACAGAAGAGCCCCAGTCAGTCCAAGCAGTCCCTGGTATCAGTTGGTGGATGCTGGCTTCCTAGGACGAGCAAGGGGACGGGGTAGGAGAGCATGCGATGAACAAGATACACCAACGCCAATCCCACAACAACACATGCGCAGAACACACATATCCAGATAAGTGGGAGACAAGAAAACAGAACAGATCGAGTATCCGCGAAAACGCACTAGAGCAATGATCAAATGTACAAACAAGGGTATATCGGAGGTGAAGCACCTGAAGGACCGTTCAGACTTTTACACGTTCACAGGCCGTCACCGGCACCTGTCTCGACACCATCGGCCGAATAGGATATACTGGGGTCGAACCCAAATCCAGTGGCGTCGGCATCCGTGTTGAGGAATGTATCAAAGTCGAAGTTCTCCAGAATGTCTGGATTTTCCAGTGCGCTGAAGTCAAGGTTGAATGCGGAAGCCTTTGATAGAGTCAGTAAATGCATACTTGTAGTAGACAAGGTGGTGAAATAACATACATCAGGAATGCTGAGGTCAGTGAAGGATTGCTGTTGGTCAGGAGGCTGCTGCACCATAGTCTGAGGAGGTGCAGTAGACTGTGCTGCTTGAGCTGGCCCGTTCGCTCCATTTGCTCCATTCTTAGGATTGAAAGAGCTAGGATGCTGCGGCGTGACGGGAGTCGATGGGGTCGGGGGCTCTGCGGCTTCGGTAGATGGAGTCGCGCCTGCGGCCGCACTGGCGGCAGCAGCAGCAGCTTGCTTCTTGTTGGGTCGCTTGAAGTCAAATTAGCAGATACAAAGATTACAGCAGCACTTGAGAGTATACAAACCTTGCGAGTGTCCTTCGCATCCTTCTTGCCCTTGGGTGGAGCCTTGGTAGTTTGCTGGGGCGTTGGTGGTGCGTTCCCAGCGGTCTGAGGTGACACCGGCTGGCCACGACCAACGTTAGGACCGGTGACGGGTGGCGCCGAGGGCGGAGGCATCGCGCTTCGTTCCTGCGGGGTTCCAGCCTGGGGCTGGTTCGCAGGCGAATGCTGCGGAGGCATCTGCGGTTGTCCTGGCTGCCATTGTCCACTAGGCATACGTTGGCCGGCATTGGCTGGAATCGGCTGGCCCATTTGAGCTCCAGTGAAGGCAGGATTAGAGCTAGGAGGTCGCATATTCGGTCCAGGGAAGAACTGAGCTGCCATCTCTGGGGGAATCGGACCACCGTTGAGGTTCATGGATCCGGGAGATCCACGCTGGGACATGTCGCCGGCGCTTGGCGACCCGGGAAGTCCAGTCGGAGGCATCTTGGGCGTGCCTCGTTTCATTTGGTCGCTAGGATTGGGAGACGCGCCCGCCCTGCTGCCCGGGGAAGTACCTGGCGGCAAAACTCCCTGGCCGGGCATTGGGGGCTGGCCGTCAGCGCGGGCCATGCTATCTTGCTCTTGACGAGCCATCATCAAACGCCGCTTATTCTGCTGTTCAAGCAGCATAAGCTGCATCTGATAATCTTGAAGAGCATGGTTACCATTCTGACTGCCAGGTGTCTGCAAACTACCAGGTGTCTGTAAGCCACCAGGTCGGACCTGGGCGAGTTGACCATTTGCACCGTAGTACTCAGGACCACCGCCCATAGGATACATTCCTTGGCCATCCGGCATCGGCACCAGATCCCCCTGATTCGCCATAACACCGGGATTCATCATGCCACCATTCGGGATACCCTGGGAATTCGATGCTGAGCGAGAGTGATGAAGGGCCAAGTTTTGAGCATATACCTGCATAGATTTCTGTTGCGCAGCTTGTCCCTGGAACTGCTGGAATTGCGCCGGAGTCATTCCCCTCTGCATTCCATTCTGCATCATTATAGCCTGCGGGTTGGGCTGTCCAGGCATTCCTTGTCCCTGTCCACGGCCATTCGGTGCCAGCTGCTGTCCGTTGACAGAGCCTTCAAGACGTGGGCGTTTCGACGGCGAGGGGGCGTTGTCGGCAGACGCTGGTGACTGTGGTCGATGTCCACCCATCTCCATGTCCGGATCCCGTTGCATTTGCTGCATCATTTGCAAGTGCTGGGTCTTCTGGTACTGCGCCATTTGTTGTTGTTGTTGCGAGCTAGAAAGAATCTCATCAGCACGTCCACCCCCAACTTAACACTCCGCATGGGTAGGAAGATATTCAGATAGAGCATACAGTCCAGTGGTGTTGTTCTGCAGCACTGTTTTCTGCAGGTTAGGAGGCACCATGCCATTCTGTCTCCGGAGCTGGTTCATCTGGCCGGGCATCATAGGTTGCTGCCTCATAAATTGGTTGTGTTGCTGTTCTCGCAAACGCATGACGTTCTAGAGTTCAGGATTAGTCCATAATCCACATCCTCGATGTAGATGATCGTCCACGCACCTGGTTGTGCTGAAGATATAGCCGAATATCATTGCTATTTCCCTTCTTGCGTTGAGCCCAGAAGAACTCCCAGAAAAGGCTGAACCAATCGAGGAGAAATGAGGAGGGACTTTCGTTGGGAATATTTGGACGAGGAAGATCATCTGGGATCTTGATCTTCTCACCATCCTTCCCATCGGTCATCATAGCATCAGGGTCCATACCATTGACGTCGCCATCACGCCGATTTCCTGGACTCGTCTTGGGATTGTTGTCGGTGTTGAGTTTGATGTTTTCATCTTGCAAGAGAGCGCGGGCGCAGTCATGGTACCCACGCTTCAAAAAGTAATCATAGATGTAGGTGTTGAGGTTGTTGATCATGATTTCGGGGTTGTTCATAGTGCCGTCGTTACGAGAAGCCGTGGATCCGTTGTTGATCATAGGAACTCCACCCACAGGGCCTCCAGCCCCGGGGTTCATCCCGACATTCATTTGGTTCATGGTGGCGAACGGTGGGACTGCAGCCACCCTTGCCTGTTGTATCGTGAGATTTTCAAATCGGATGTACGCAGCTTCCGACGCGCGACCTCCGTTTCAGGCTATGAAGCCTAACGCGGGGTGATAGAAGCGACGCGTAGGAATTGATGCGGAGGCAAAGCGGTCAGCGCTTTCGAGGGAATATCGAAGGCTCGTAGGAACGCGTGTGTGTAACAGCGCAAATCAAACGGGTATATGATCGCGAAGTATGAACGAGTTCAGGATCACCGGTGGCGTCTTCTTCCGGAGAAACCACGCGACGGGGTAGAAACGAGAGGATGGAGGCTCGGAGGCGCAGGCGAAGTATGCTCGGTATCTCTGACTGGAGAAATTGGGTGAGCACTTGCCAGAGGATTAAACACTTCAAATGACCAAGTGCAGGGGCAAGTGCGCAGTCTATATGGGGGTAGGCGATGACGGATGTACAAGGAGGCGGAAAAAGCGCACAAGTGAGGTGGTTGGTATGGGGGGGGGCGGCGACAGACACCCGATCGGGCAGAATCGCGGACAGGAGATCACCAAACCCGTGTACAAAGAAAAAGGAGGCCCAAGAACAAGAAACGAAAAAAAAAGAACAGATTAAGAATAGAAAGGGGGAGTCTAAGAGATGTGGATCTCACAGTGGGAAGAGGAGGACGGATTCAGTGAGAGAGAGCCGGGGGGGACGTACATTGACAGGCGCTGCGCTCTGCGGGAGAATCGCTTGTTCGGAGCGGATCAACCTGGTCGGAGGTCGGGGCTGGGGATGGCGCTGTCAAGCGTATTTCTGGGAATGCACCGATCTGATAACCATTGAATTTGCGGTCTGCGACGAAAAAAGAAACAAGAAACAAGAGTCAGAGAAGTATCGAGAAAGAAATGGGAGATATATGTGGAAATATGGTGGTTTGAACAGATCAGAGAGGAAAAAGGGAAGCTGGAAGGAAAGTCAGAAGGGTGATATGATACCTGATGGGCCCTGCGATGGATCCCAGCGGGAGTCTAAAAAGTAAGGTAAGCCACTATTTCGCGACCACCACGAAGGTTGAATATACCGAAGATCGAGGGATTTAGGAGAATTGAACAAATTGAGAGGAGAATCAATTGCTGTGGAAAAGTCGTGTCCAGGTAGAGGTTGAGAAAAGATGGAAAGGAGGGAAATTCGATCTGTAAAGAGTTGAGGGGCGGCGGAGATAGTGGTACAGAACCAGTATGGCCCGGCGTTTGTGACATACAATACTTGACAAATACAATAACTCGGATGTTCCGTTGACCGCTATTTAGGTGCCCATAGGAATTATATATACTTGACCGAACTGCAGGTTTACCATACAATACATGTTTGGTCATGACGATACAGATCAAGCTCCTGAGCGGCAGATTCGCCGAGGATCTACGGGATACACGTATAAAAAGGGAAAAAAAGGGAGATCATGCGATTTCTATGGACTGATCGTAACTTAACCCCCAAACCTTGCCCTAATCGGAAGCTAAATTGAATATAATGTATCGAGCCCCTATGCCAGTGATAAATCGCGTGGTTTAGGATACATCATAAACCCTAAGTTACTAAAAGACAGGTGTACAAATAGAGTGATTATCGGAAGCAATAATGACGAATAAGGGCAAAAAAAAAGACCCATCCCTCTAAAAACATAACCAATGAGGAACCCCTAGAAACGCCCATTCTTCAAGTAGTGTAAATGCACAAGATCTCGCAAGGTTATTATTCTTCCTCCGGTGGCATCTCATCCTCAATGTATCGTACGAGGGAGACCCGCATCTCCGTGGTATCATCTCCGCGCAGCACGTCACTGACAAAGTGCGCCTCGATCTGCATTTGAACCTAAAAACCGGGTCAGCGATCGAACCTAGAGCAAGGGGAACCCACTCCAATTGACCGGGGTGCTGGTAACTTACCATCTCCAGGGACCCTCGGAGGACGCCACACAGGATATTGGAGAACCATAGCTCATCCTGAGCCCGCCCATCATCGGGAAGCTCCACAAAGTCCGCCAGGGGGTTGTCTTCAAAGATAAGGGAAAACTGGGTGTTATCACTCGTCCAGTTTGTGACTGTAGGTGTGACATTCAGGAAGATCTTAAAGCCAACCTAGTCGGGTTGTCAGCCATCATAGCTTTGTTATCTCCATGTTCTCAAGTGACTCCCACCTTCGCGATCATATCAGCTGTCTCCCGGAAGTTGGCGCATCGGCCGACACCTGACTTGGCCAGGAAGTCTTCAATGAGTCGCATTCCGATATTGTATCCCATCTTATCCAACTGCTTGTTGACATCCTGATAGTTGCTATCGTAGTCTTGGCATAATTGTGCGACAATTGTTCCGTAGGTTAATGTGACCAGCTCCGCGTTGACTTTATCGACTCTTGTTCTGCGCATAGGAAGAAAGCCGATTAGTTCGTGTTCGAGGTCAGAGATAAAGCGAAGTCAATTGGTCATCGCTTCTCTGCTCCAGTATTCGGGCACTGGGGCTTACTGACTTCCATATTCTGTTCGAAGGTCATTGATTAATAGAAGGTCCACTGGATAAGGCATCCGGCCTTGGGAGTCCACCTACTCTTCTCCTATTCTTGATGTTTTCGTCGACGACATCTTTGGGATTATGATCTGATAGCTCTGTTTTTTTGGTAAAATAGGGGAAATGAATAGAATCCAGAGAAGCACGGGTAACTGTGACAGTCAACTGTTGATCAGGGTGATTGTGGGGAGTCCGTGATTGTTGGAGTTGCTGATTGTACACAGCAGTAATACAGCCGACGAAAGCGACCATGCTGGACTTTTCATTTCATTGGTTCTTTTTATTCGCCGCCTTTTTCTCCGCCTTTTCATTTTGTATGTATTGTACGTGGTGAGTGGGGTAAATGACCGTGTTATTTTCTGCCAGACAAAAATAACCCCAAGACTATCAAGTCTCGATGGTCGCTTTCGTCCACCGGACACAGCCCGCTCACCGCCGAGGCCAGGTGGGATTATCGTTCTTCCCGCAGCTTCTCGCCCTGAACTTTTGCTCTCCACTACTTTCGCCCGAAGTCGCGATTGATCACCAATCAATTCTTTTACCTCTCCAAATTCACCGAGGTGCTTGCTGTGACAATGTCTGGTGAAAAGCGCCCTGCTCCAGAGGGCTTTGGGACCTCGCACCAGCTCGTGGTCAAGCGGAACAAGGCCGCCGAAAATGCAGGAACCGAGCTCGTGAAGGGCTCTTCCCAAAATGGAGCTCTCATTCAATCTGTATGCGCCAAAGTTTGCCCTCGAAGCTCAATGGGCTTTCACGGAGCATAGTCAGCTAATCTGAGTTAACAGGTTCCTCGCACAAGTGGTTTGGATGCTCCTATCATGGAGCTCACAGGTGAGAGGCTGTCGCCGATTTGTGTCGCTATACATGCGCTAACCGAAATAATCTACTAGGCCACTCTGGTGAAGTATTTGCAGTTCGATTCGACCCTACCGCGCAACACATCGCATCTGGATCCATGGATCGTTCCATCTGTATGTCTCATCTTTATACCGGAATGCGGCCGCCGAAAATGTTACTGATCAAGAGTTCTTGAATAGTACTGTGGAATACATACGGGCAATGCGAAAACTACGGCCAATTGACAGGTCACCGGGGAGCTGTGTTGGATCTTCAGTGGTCACGCGATTCGCGGGCACTGTTCTCAGCATCCGCAGATATGACCCTCGGAAGCTGGGATGTTGAGACCGGGGAACGAGTACGCCGTCACGTGGGCCATGAGGAGATCATCAACTGCCTCGATATCAGCAAAAGAGGACAGGAGCTTCTAGTCAGTGGTAGTGATGATGGGTCCATCGGCATCTGGGATCCGCGGCAGAAGGATGCTCTGGACTATCTCCAGACGGAACTCCCCATTACCGCAGTGGCATTGTCCGAAGCGGGTAATGAGATCTACAGTGGAGGTATTGACAATACAATCCATGCCTGGGATATTCGGAAGAAGGCCATAGTCTACTCGATGGCCGGACACACAGATACCATCACATCGCTACAAATCTCGCCAGACTCACAGACTTTGCTGTCGAACTCTCATGACTCCACTGTTCGCACATGGGACATTCGTCCATTCGCCCCTGCCAACCGGCAAGTGAAGACCTACGATGGTGCCCCTGTTGGACTAGAGAAGAACCTCATCCGTGCCAGCTGGGATCCTAAGGGCGACAAGATTGCTGCAGGCAGTGGTGATCGAAGTGTGGTTGTTTGGGAGACCAAGACCGGTAAATTGCTGTACAAACTTCCCGGGCACAAGGGCACTGTCAATGACGTGCGCTTCTCTCCCAATGATGAGCCGATCAGTGAGTATACACCCTTTGCGAGCAAACCCACAATTTCTAACATGGTCACAGTCGTTTCTTGCTCCTCCGATCGGAACCTGGTGCTTGGAGAGCTGGGCAAATAAGCATATATGATAGGTATTAATGTTTTAATGAAGATCAGCGGGCGTCAAATTCATTTTTTCAAACATGCCATGTCCATCCGTTCCCGATCTGGACACAGCTTGTGCTACCAAGTCAGAGAGCATCTTTCGGCTTCCAGAGGTGACTTGTCCGGCTATGCATCCGGATCTATGAATTGTACAATAAGAACTAAATTTCAAAGTAATCCTGCTATTGGAAATTTATGGTCTACAAGAACAGTTTTGATGCGGCCTCTCCACTAGGTTGAGCTCGGGACAGTGTCGGATTTGGATGATCTAAATATCCAGCTAATTCGAGAATATATCGTGGATTATTATGATGCCTTTTCCAACATCTTTTTCTAATGTCTGTAATCCGGCGAAAAGCACTCGATATAAGGGTAGAATAGGTAACGGCCTAAGTTTCAAGCACTTTTCAAGTACCTCTGTTAACTTCTTTCCCACGTACTCCTGATTTGCGGTTGCAAATGTATACCTTCTCGATCCATAGAGATGAGTAAATGTAAACAATACGTAATTCATGAATGTATGTACCGACCTAACCTTGGTAGACATGAAGTATTTGACTTTCAAGGCCAGACTTGACTGACATCTTCCTTCTCTTCTTTTCTTCCTCTACACAACTCTTCAAATCCTGCAAGATGTTTGATCAACAATATACTCCGGAACTCCCCTACTACTCCAAGGTGGACTCTGTTGCCGATACCACCATCACGTATCGCATGCTCTACCTCGAGCCTAATGTCCAGCCAGAATCGGAAAAGTGGCAGTCCCGCATTTATCGATGTTGTATTCCTCTTTTGATACTTATTTTGATAGGTGAGTCTTACATCGAATGCTGCAACTTATGCAAGCTATCTGAAAGGTTCGTTGCTAACTTCCAACGTAGACATGGCTGTCTATATTGAGGCCCCCCACGCCTCAAACGCCGTCGGGTATGTCGTGCACACCCTACAGGGCTTTGTGTTGGCTATACAGTGGTACAGCCTAGTCAGATATTTTTTGGCACTGAGGCGTCAATCTTGGAAGCCGAAAGGTCGTGGTTATGATCTCTCCGTTGGACCAGCATACACATACACATTCCCCTTACGACCAGGGGACGGTGATTCGATTGCTCCCCCATCTAATGATTTTGATGATGCCCATGTTTCCGGGCACAGAAAAGCATTCCCTTGGTGTATAAAGGGAATGGTGGGATAATACTCCATGTGTTCGATGCATCTTCTGTTGCTGACATGGAAGCTTAGAGTTTCCAAAGTTGCCCAGATGGTCTCGTTGGTTGTTAAGCAGGGAATATCCTTGAGGCGTTGGCTTAACTTTTGGCTTTATACATGTTCGCTTATTCGGTCTTGTGACGTCTCTTTTGATAGTCTTTTTAGACGTTGTTTTACTTAAATATTTTCCCTTTCATTGGTTGTAGCTAAAATATAGTTGTTGAAAATGGCCTAAAATATGCAACCCTGCTTTTCTATACTCTGTATATAGCCTTCGATTCGATAGGCAAATAGGGTTGATGAGTGTCAGCGAGAGCGTTGCCAATCTCTTCAGTGGAATGAGATATACAATTCGTTATCCATCTGGTCGTATCTATATCCATGGTTTATAGTAGGATAGCACTTAAAGTCCATATGAGAATGCTCAAAATCTACATAAGAAGTAAAAACTGTATAATCTCAACACCAATCTCCAAACTAATTCTTAATAAATATTCAATCCTCTTATAAGTTGTACAGACAAGCATACCTACTATGTAGGTAGTATGGAATGATGCAATAAGCGGGAAAAAAAAGATTCCCCAGACGCTTATCTGGCCGAATCCCCCAACTTCCCACTCCACAACAAGAGGGTGACCCCATTTAAAACAGTCTCTTTTCAGAGAGGCCTTAAATAAAAGGCCATCTGGCGCCCCATCCATGATCCCTACCGCGCTCAGATCTGCTCGAAGCGCACGCGACGGAGGTGATGTTTAACCTCCGCTCCGCCTGGATGGTGGTTTGGGCCATCCTATTATGGCTCACCGTCGTGCATGGCATGCGAGACAGCCAAGTCAAAGAACTAAGGTATAGCTACACTCGATCCTCTTCAAAAACATACAAAATTAACTAATACACCCCTGTCCTTCCGCAGACAAGAAACTGAGCGCATGTTCTTCCATGGCTTCGAGAGCTACCTCCAATACGCGTTCCCCGAAGACGAATTACGCGCCCTGACATGCGGCCCTCTTGTTCGCGACGAGAAGAACCCGGAGCATAATGATGTGCTGGGGAATTATTCTCTGACCTTGATTGACAGCTTATCGACGCTGGCCATTCTCTCCTCGAGCCCGGACAGTGGCGAGCGAGCCTTGGCGCATTTCCAGGATGGTGTCGAGGGATTTGTTAGGCTGTATGGTGATGGCTCAGACGGCCCTGCTGGTCAGGGCGAGCGGTCGAGGGGCTTTGATCTGGATAGCAAGGTACATCTGTTTGAAACTGTGATTCGGGGACTGGGTATGATTTCCCCCCCTTCATGGCTTATCGATTTGTCGCATGTGCTCAATTTCTGGCTATTCATGTCCTCCTGCTGACTTATTCAGGTGGATTGCTCAGTGCCCATCTTTTCGCCGTCGGCGAGCTACCCATCATCGGATACGAGCCATCCGAACGGGAGGCTGCCTTCGCCAGCGCATGGGATAAAAGTATGTTTATAAAAAGTGATCACGGTATTCGATGGTCCAATGGCTTTGTTTATGATGGCCAACTACTTCGACTTGCTGTGGATCTGGCCCACCGTTTGCTCCCCGCATTCTATACGGAGACGGGCCTTCCCTACCCTCGGGTCAACCTGCGCCACGGAATCCCATTCTACGAGAATGCGCCTTTAAATCTCAACACCCGAGATGCCGAGGGCAAGCGCAAATCCAAAAACGCGGCCTCTGAGCCCGCTGAAACTTGTAGTGCTGGGGCAGGCAGTCTGGTCCTTGAACTGACCGTCTTGAGCCGGCTCACTGGTGATGGGCGGTATGAGGACCTGGGTAAGAGGGCATTTTGGGCAGTCTGGAACCGCCGGAGTGACATCGGACTACTTGGATTTGGGATTGATGTCGAGTCCGGGAAATGGGTTGGACCATGGGCAGGAGTAAGCAGGATCTCTTTTAACAGGTACAAGCATATACTAATTGTCAGTAGATCGGCGCCGGCATTGACAGCTTCTATGAGTATGCTGTCAAAGCTCACGTTCTCCTGTCCGAGGGCGAGCGCCTGCCTTTCAACTCCAACAGCCCTTGGGCGGCATTGGACTCGTACTATACTCCTCTGACGGACTACCAGCATACCGCCGAGGCCTTCCGACAAGTTTGGGAAGAATCGCATACTGCGATCAATCGCCACCTATTCCGAGGTGAAGGTTATCAACATCCCCATCTTATTGTGGGAGATGTGATCACCGGTGCCACGCGAGCGTTTTGGATCGATAGCCTGAGCGCTTTCTATCCAGGAGTTCTCGCCCTGGATGGAAAGCTAGATGAAGCTATCCAGATTCATCTGCTGACCACCGCCATCTGGACACGTTACTCGGGCATCCCTGAGCGATGGAATGTGGCTACCGGTGACATCGACAACGGTATGCCGTGGTATGGAGGTCGGCCTGAGTTCATCGAGTCCAACTACTACATTTATCGCGCAACTCAAGATCCTTGGTATCTACATGTTGGAGAGATGGTTCTCAGCGATCTAAAGCGGCGTTGCTGGACCAAGTGTGGCTGGGCTGGCATTCGGAATGTTCTCACCGGCGAGCTCATTGACCGGATGGAGAGTTTCTTCATCGGAGAGACAGCCAAATACCTATATCTGCTGTTTGACCAGGATCATCCATTGAACAAGATCGATGCCCCGTGGGTTTTTAACACGGAAGGCCATCCTCTCATCATCCCGAAAAAGTCGGCATCCGCGCCTCGCCAGCAGCGAAATTCATCTCAGAGCCCGGACATGGCCGGAGGAGTATGCCAAATTATTCCTTCCCCGTTCTTCGGCGTGTCCTCCACTGCATCCCGAACAGACATATTCCATGCTGCCAACTTGGCACGTCTGGATCTGATGCCTGATCGGGGAGTGGCGGCAGGTCCTATTTTGCAAGACTCGCCTGGACATCAAAGTGTCTTTGTGTCTGACCTTTCATCACCTACCAATTACACATTCTACCCGTGGACGCTGCCACCTCAGCTGGTTCCATTCAACGCCACCAGCGCGCCTATGGCCGTTCGGCCCACGCTCGACATCTCATTCCCATCACTCCCAGGCGGCGTAAACATGGGACCTGGAGCGCTGGAACGTGTCCGAGACGGGGTACTTGTAAAAACAATTGGAGGACTCCGATTGAGTATGGTTCAGGATGTACAGTTGGAATCCCCGACGACCACGACTGGGGAGGAGGAAGACGGATACCGGGTCCAGGTGATCAACAATGTGCCACTGGGCAAAGATGAGAAGGTATATCTCTCTCGTCAAGTCACCTTTGATGTCGTCGATCCGTATGATCCGAACTTCACCCGTGTTCGCGACAATGCCATGCTTGACCTCGTCATTGACGTTCTCCCAGAGCCCTCTCGTCGACGCAATGATTCGGCTCATCCACGAGATGAAGAAACTCAACCAGAAAGTCCACACCCGCCAGAGCCCCGTCTCGCAGGCCACAGCCCCGCCTCTTCTGTCGACGATGCCGCAATTGTTGACTCCCCGGACTCAACAGTAAGAGCTATGCTATCGTCTCTGATGCACTCAGTGTCGTCGTTGCTTCACAACGAACCGACCGAGCCTGCTCCACTCAGATTGACTCTCCCCGCTGCTATCTCTTCCGGCATTGGGGCTAGCCCTCTTCCGGATGTTGAAGATGCAGTTACCATGTCCTTGCTTGGAAACCCATCCACAGACCGCCTGTCATGGTCAAGTATATACTTCGCCGGTGACCTTTGCGACGAGGGGATTCCCCGTGAGGTCGCCCATAACCACGAAGTCCTTGTTATCAAACGTGGCGGTTGCACTTTCTCGGAAAAACTCCGCAACATCCCCGCATACCGACCAACGCGATCTGCACTGAAGCTAGTTGTCGTCGTTTCATACGATGGCATACCACCACCCGGCTTCCACGGGAAGAAGAGAGAGCCAACGGATCAATCCGAGTCTCGCTCTGCGCTCGCCGCCGTCCGTGCCGAGCCCACTCTCATCCGTCCCCACCTCGATGAAGCCCAAATGACAGCCAGCGGCATCCCACGAAATTACCTCATCAGCATGGTCATGGTCGGCGGCGGAGATGAAACATACGAACTCCTGCGCCATGCAAGCGGCATTGGAGTCAAGAGACGATATAGCATGCGCTCTCGTGGTGTCCCAATCACGAATTTACACATTGTTTGAATATTCACACAGATATACTATACCCTTTTGGAAGACTCTTGGATCATTTGTGGCGCTTGTTTCATATTTCGCAAATGTAAATAGGTTTAGACTTGTATAGTCAAGCCTCCAGCTCAGAAATAATCGAACTGGATTCATCTGATAACAATCTACATTCACCATCCAACCAAGTTCTATATAAAAGCCACATCTTTCAACTCAAAGCCTCGACTTACCCTCCATCTCAACCTGAACCTTCCTCCAAGACTCAACTGCCCTCCTAGACGCCGTCTCAGGATTGACCCTCCCATCCCTCATCCTCCGATCAAAAACCTCCATAGAAACCCACCCCTCAAATCCAACCTCAACAATCCATGCCCTGGCAATCTCAACAACAGGCAAATACCCCCCAAACTCAACCTCCAAAGGAAAAGGCCTCGCATGCTTAGACCAAGTAAACTCCTTCGCCTCCCCAGGCAACGCCCACGGATGCGCCAATGAATAAGGAGGTTCAAACCGCTCCGCATCAGAAAGCTGCACATAGAAAATCTTCTCCAGCGGACAATCTCGCACAAACCTCCTCAGCGAATCCCGCAGCTTCGTCTCCGCATCCATCTGCACTCCCGTCGGAGAAGAATTATCCCCCCACACACGCGTCCCTTCATGGAAAGTATCCAGACACAGTCCGAAATTCGAACGGTCAACACGCTGTACGATCGACAGTGCACTTTCCCAGGTTGAACAGTTTGTTCCCCATGATAGGGGTTCGTAGGCGATTGATACTATTGGCTTGTTGGAGCTAGCTAGGTCGGATAGCTGCTGGAGGTCGGATATGATTGTTTTTTCATCGCGGCTGCAGTCCGCTGTGAAGATTGATGGGACTTGTAGGTATGGTGCGTGTAGCAGACGAGCGATTTCGAGCCAGTGCTGGGCGAGAGTGAGTCTTTCTTTTAGTGGGGTTGTTGAGCCTTCGTAGTTTTCGAAGGGGGCTAGGGAGAGGACTTGGAGGTTTGTTTCCTGGCAGACAGTGTGGATCTCTTGGGCTGCTGTGTGGATGGAGATGTTTTGCGTTTTACTGTAGGTGAGGAGGTCGTTGTAGACTATTTCGATTCCTGCGATGCCGGCTTGGGATGCGGCTCGGATTTTTTGGTCGAGGAAGTGGCCTGGGTATTGGCTAATGGAGATGCTGGAGATTGCTAGTTTGTTGGGTGTCATTTTGGAGCTTTTTTTGGGAATTAAATATTGAACCCTTTGACTTGCTTCTAGGAGACTTGATATATCAAATTAGGGCGGAAGTCGGTTTCCGGTATGTGGGGGAATCACGAATATACAACCCCGCAATTGGCTATCAAGTCATTTCAGTCAGGCAGTATCTGACTATTTCGTCCATCTCTTGTATCTTTCGGTCATTAATGGCCGAAGGGTGTGAAGTAGTTCATCGCCCTGCAAGAGTTGTAGGTTGGAACTATAAATCCGGGGTACTTGAGCCTCAGGTAATGATACGATATAAATGTACAACATACCTCATTCAAAGAAGCTCACAAATAGCAAACATATAAACACAGCTTACTAAATATAGCCACAGATCTATCAACCTCCAGCATGTTCCTTTGTCATATCAGCCTCATACCATGGTCAGAGATCAAACGTATCCATCATATATCAAGTTCAACGGTGATCATTTCGATGGACCTTCCATCCGCGTTTATTCCAGCTTTCGCAACCCAAATTCCTCACAGTAACAACCTCTAAAAGATGAGGTGCTGTCATATTTGCGTTTACCCATCCCCGCCCCACACCCGTTGGGCTTACCCATCCCCGCCACGCAGAGTAATCCAATCCCGCATCTATAAAGAATTGCTTAAGCCATTCATTGTTACCAGTCTCCCCACCTCGCAATCCTCCCGGGAAGTCGAAAGTGTAGGTATTGCGCACATGCAAAGAATTGGGTGATTCGTACTCTTTGCTGGATACACCCATATAGAGTTCCGTTTCGATTGTGACTTGTGCATCAAGATGACTGGTGACTTTGCACTGGTGCAAGATACTTTGTTCGGTTGGATAACGAGTGAAACTTTTGGGGAATAGACTCTTGGAATCTCCCATAGAGAGGAGCATAGCCACTACGAGTGCCCGCTCTCTGAATGAGATGCTGAGACAGGGACAGATGTCAACTAACCCCGCATAGGGCATGCAGTCAGGGCCAGAGAGTACACCACGCTTGTAGCGATGGCTCGCTTTATTGGAGTTGGTAGAGGGTTCGAATGCTGAGCGTGGGTGTAAGTTCATACACACCACGTAGGATTTCCAGCTTTCGTTTTGTAGTTGCTGTAGGAGCTGAATTCGAGGTCGTTGTGCGAGCTGGGTGTTGGGGTATATTGGTGGACGCTTTTCTCTCGGGATTAGGAGCTTTGCATGGTTTGGGTCTTTGACCTTGAGGAATGAGACAAAGTGAGTATAGTGATATCTGCAGGTAAGTGCAAAGCAGATCTGTTCTAGTACGGGGAGTTGCTCGTGTATAAGATCTAATATCTCTGCTGGGATCTGCCCGTTGTGAGGCTTTGAGGTTTGGGGTTGGTGAGAGACGGACATCTTTTTTTTTCTGTGTAGTGCCGATCAAAGTCTTGAGTTGTATCAGAGAGTGAAGTTCTATGCTCAGGTGAGTGGACAGGGTAAATGTAGCCTCTTCCCGATTTGGATGCGGCTGGGGCTACCACGTTACAGGGCATCTGCATCTAGATGTCACAATACAATAAGAACTAAATCTCAAGAGAATCCAGTTCTTGATTATTTGTTTTTATCATTTTAACTTTTGTTTAGGAGAAAGATAGAAAGATACCATTATCTATATTTGTGTGGCATTTTCCTGAATCAAAATAGAGATATGGATCTACTTGAGAATAGCCTCGGGTTCTTATTTCTTGAACTGTGATAGTTGGTGGAATGAGTAGATCTTAATAGCAAACCATCCACATACATGCCACAATTGACGACAACCGCTTAGCATCCTCGTTAGGAAAAAGCCATCGTATCCTGAACTATCAGCGGAACTATCAGCGGATCTGAGCTGTTCCACAATGCGGAATCAGTCTTGAAACGTGATGCTGCGGCAAGGGTAAATATCAACAAAGCCGGCATAAGGCATGCATTGCACTCCGAAGAGCACACGGGATATAGAGCTCTCATGGGTTGGTTTGCTCCCATGCTGGGTGTTGATGAAGGTTCAAGCACTGGGATGCAACATTTCCAACGGGGATTTTCTAAACGACGGAGTAGCTTCGTTGATTTGCTTGAGAATGTTCAAAATTCAATCTGCAGGTGATGGTCATTAGCGGGTTTCGAATGTCCGAGCATGCCTACGGCAGGTTTTATACGCCATCGCGCCAACCGACCAGGCAGGAAACTATGAATAATCCATACCTATAGCCCAGGGTACGAAGGTATTAATGCCTTCTAAAATAGGTACTAAAGATAATACTATTAGTACCTATATAAATCCTAGAATACCCTTATTTCTTATTACACCCTTTAAACTAAAGAATTAGAAGTAACTCTTCATCTTTAACATTAGCTTAAAGTATGATTTTTTTACCGTCTTTATACATATCTTAAAAAACTATCTAAAAGGACCATCTAAAAAGAACATCATAAGGCCGCAAACACAGCCGACTATCTATACCAAACATTGCTGTACACGAGATTTCTATCAAATTATATAGGTTGGCGCGATGGCGTCTAAAACCTGCCGTACATGCCCAAGTGAAAAGGGGTCCGGGATGGGGGCTATTTTTGCTCTGATAGAAGCTCTAGTCCACATCCTTGTCTAGAACCAACCACTTCCTGTTATTCTCCAACTGAATATTCTTGATTGGCTCGGGGGAGTCCAGAAAGTAATATATACACATGGTACCCGCTGTTCATATATAAGCGGGGAAGTCCACACACTAATTAGCGTAGGCTACCAACATTCTTGCGTTTGTTTAATAATAATCGGAGGAGCTCGTCCCTAGTGGCGTGGTCACATCCAGGTACGGCCCGGCCTAGTCTCACTCGGGCCTTAAAAGCTGCTATCAGCTATGTTGTAGTTTCGTTCCTTGCCCATTCGCAAACGCCAAATCGTGTGGGCTCTGCTTTTATACCTTGATTCCCTAGGGTCCCTTTCCTTGGACAGTATGGCAACCATACTGGATCATCCATTTTACCCCCTTAACCTCAATGCTGTTGGTTATGCGGCCAATACTATGAGCATCCCTGCACTTCTTGGCGTTTTCGCTATTGCAACCATTGGTATTATTGTGTTCAGCTCGTCTGTTCTAAAGATGATAAAGCCGAGTATATCGCGAACAGATAAGATTCTGGTAGGATGGTTCATCTTTAGTGGGTTCAATATTACCTCGGCCACGATGTCTGTCTATGAAGCTTTATTGACTCATTTCCTCAGGTGGATTCATACACTTTATTCTGGAAGGGTACTTTGTGTTTAACCATAAGACAATGCCACGTAGGCTAGATCTTCTTGGTCAAATGTGGAAGGAGTATGCCAAGGCTGATTCTCGATACATGACTATGGAGCCATTTGTACTTTGTATGGAGTCGATTACGGCTGTAAGTGTGCTATATCTTATCCTACGTGGATAATTATACTAAAGTTGTACACAGTTTGCGTGGGGACCTCTATGCTATTTCGTCTCATGGATGATCGTTACGGCGTCTCCGCATCGCCATCCAACACAATTGATTGTCTCTATGGGCCAATTCTACGGCGATATCTTATATTATGGGACAAGCATGTTGGAGGAATACTACCATGGGGTGTCTTACTCTCGTCCGGAGACTTTCTACTATTGGGGATACTTTATCTTCCTCAACTCCTTTTGGATTGTCATTCCAGCCTGTAAGAAATCCACTTCCGCCGGACTGGAGTCATTTTTGCTAATCTATCACTCTAGTCTGCATGTACCAAAGCTACTCGGCAATGGTGGGAGTGTCCCAAAAATCCATCATTCATACCAAAAAAACCATGTGAGCTGAGGGTGATGTCTTCGAGCTAGTGATACCCCCTGGACATTATGCAGTATCGATACGCCAGTAAGCGACTATAAGCCTAGTGTCGTCATTTTGTATTTCAAGCTGCATCATTGGATCAATGGGCGCTCAATAATAGGGAAATGATCTATCTTCTAACGGGCCACCGACGGGATTGACATGGGTACATGCATAGTCCACTTATAAGCTTACCCATTTAAAGGAACAGCCAAGAGATACTAGTACTTGTGCACACAAGGATAATCGCTCGCACTTTTATATTAAACCCGCTATCATGTTCTTTTCCCAAGAAAACATTATAAAAATATTTCTGTTTCTGCGCTCATGGCTTCAGACATCTTGAAAATAGTCTCCTCCAACATAGAGAACATCTCCAAGAGCGGTAGCGTGCTTAGGATACTCAACCAGGTATCGAGAGACGTTACAACTGCACCAGGCTTAGGTTTAACTCACTAAATTTATTGTTTATTTTCTAGGAAAGTCCGTTGTTTGCGAATTCACTCCTTGCCATATTTGATTCTACGTCTTTCCAAGTCGCAGTCCTTGGCTTGTTGACGCTTCTTGTTTTGACATATTCGCTATCCTTATTTGACTTCATCTGGACTCGACGCAGCCAGAGGCCCGGAAAGCCAGCACCGACCCTTCCATACCACCTCCCAGGACTATACCATGGCTTTGACCTAGGATGGAGCATGGCCAGCTTCCTAGCTAACACGGTGTCAGTCACTTGGTTACACTCAGTTGCGATGTTACTAACAAATGTTTTAGTAGACGCTGGGGCTATATTTCACCAATTGGGGTCCGCGCCGGACCCTTCAAATTCACAATGATTGTCAACCCAAGTCACATCAAAACCATACTACGATCTTCTAGATCCCTAACAAACAGACCTATGATGGCTTTTGTCATGGAGAAATGGTTCCGCACGCCCAAGGAATATTTGCACTTCTATGCTGCTCATGATCCCAGCGCTTCAATACCGGGAGAAAAACCTGAGCATATGCATGATTTCCAAGTGAAGACCAGCCTCAAGTACTTATCAGGGAAACATCTTCTGGCCATGTCAGAGAGATACCTTGCGGTTCTCAAGAGCAGGCTAGTGGCCCTCGAGATTCCAACTGACAGTTGGATAGAGATCTCGGATTTTTACGCATGGCTTCAAAGCCAGGTCACTCCCTCGGTTATTGAAGCCATGATGGGTTCGCGACTTCTAGAAATGTATCCTGACATCGTGGAGGACTTTTGGGAATTCGAGCATCAGGTCGCCAACTATTCCCGTGGCTTGCCTCGCTGGATTATTCCCTCTGCATACGAAACTCGGGATCGTTTGCTAGCGAACATCAAAGCATGGAATCGACTTGCAAATCGTGAATCTGATTATACGCAGCATGGAGGAGAGGGACCCGAGTGGGATGAATATTTCGGAAGCAAATTCATCAAAGCTCGTGAAGATTATTTGAGGAAGTATGGCATGGATGAAGACTCAATCGCATCTGAGAACCTTGCCCTTCTTTTTGGGTAAGTGAGTTCTCTTTCAAGGGAGAAAGAGCTCTCAACTAAGAGACCTCACAGAGCTAATGCAAATGCCGTTCCCGCTGTTTTCTGGTATATTTTCGAATCTTTCAAGGACTTGGAATTGCAAGAAAACCTAAAGACCGAGCTCCAAGATTGTCTAAAGCCAGAGACTGGTGACTTGGATATTCCCAAGTTATCCACTAAACCTTTGCTGCAATCCACTTACGCAGAAGTGTTGCGCCTCCGCGTCACCACCTCAACGATACGCACAAATGAAGATGCCAACTTCAGGCTAGGTCCTGATTATACTATTGGCAAAAACATGATTATGACAATATTCTCTTCGGTTACGGCTTATAACAGACAGGCCTGGGAAGCTACAAGACCCGAGACCGTTACTATACCTCTAGATGAATTCTGGCCAGAGCGCTTTGTTCGAAAGGACAAAATAGATGCGAATTTCAGTCTTGAAGGCTTGACTGAATGCTGGATGCCTTACGGTGGAGGTCACCGTATGTGTCCTGGTCGTCATTTTGCCAAAAATGAGATAATTGGCACGCTGGGGGTGCTCTTGGAATTGTTTGAATGTGAACTGGTTGATGTTAAGCAAGCTGAACGGGTCAAGCCTGACACGAGATGGGTGCCCTACGGAACATTACCACCTACGAAGAAGCTGGCCGTGAGACTTCGAAGACGCACAGAATGAGGTTTGTCAATTTCTTGATTTAGAAATGAAGAAATGAAGAATTAGACCTTGGGCTTTTATAATTCTGTGCCCAATATAACAACTATAACAATTACTGCTCAATAATTCCCCTCGTCTCTACTATATATCTATAAATTCCCGGTATGGTGGAATAACGCAATCGGAGCTAAGCTTATGCATTCCCTCTACTCTTGACTCATTCCCACCTCTCTTACCTCCCTCCTCCCTTCAACATCCAAATATAACAATCATCCATTATCACATCACATCAGAAAAAATGCGTGCCGACCCAACCACCCTCCAACCAACAGAAAGACACACCCAAGTCCCAATCCCCTCAATCACAAAACTACTTCAATACCCAAAATACCTCTACTTCGCCTATGGCTCCAACCTCTCCCCCTCCCAAATGAAAACCCGCTGTCGCATAAACCCCACCCACTCCGCCACCCCACTAGCAATCGCAACCCTCCCGCAATGGCGCTGGTTAATCTGCGAAGCGGGCTACGCAAATGTCCTCCCACCACCTGGTCTGCGCGTCGCGAATCAAGACTCCGAGATCGCGCATAAGATCCCTGTCTCCGGGTCTGAGGACGCGGTCTACGGCGTTCTTTACCAGATGGATCTTGGCGATGAGGGGATTCTAGATGGTTACGAGGGCGTTGATACATCTGCTGCGGATGCGGGGGCCGGGGATGGTGTGCCCATTTCTGTGAGGCCCCGGGTGCAGGGAGATGGATCTTATAATAAGTGGTTTGTTGAGGCGGATGTTGTGACGTGGTTAGATGGGGCGGAGGGGGTTAGGGCGGGGCTTGAAGACGGGGAGGGGAAGGTGCCGGTTTTGGTTTATGTTGACGAGAACTGCGTTAGGCTTGCTGGGCCCAAGTTTGAGTATATTGCAAGGATGAATCGGGCTATTCGGGAGTCTGTGGATTTGGGGGTTCCTGCGGGATGGGTGGAGGAGGTTATGAGGAAGTTCATTCCTAAGGAGTGAAACACTGTAGATTTGATAGATTGAAAGATGGATGCATTTAGAAGGATCTCAATCCATAGTCACATCAGGTCCAATTGCTAGGACGCTACTCTTATCAAAATAAGAAAATATGATCAGCCAGTTTATACACATATCAAGTTGCATTGATAAAAAGCTATTTGTCTATGGGATATTATCCAGGCAGCTCTGCGCCAGCTGTGGCGGGTGCCGTCGACCAGCGAAACAAGGCTCCAGACTCGAAGTTCGAGTCATTTGTTTGATTGGGCCCGGGAGGAGCGGATGGCAGACGCGCTCACCGCAAGATCGGGTGTGGTCGGGCTTTTGAAAGGATGGGGTCATTATAATCGGCAGTTGAGATCGTCGCAGAAAGAAATGATTTTTTTTTTGAAGCGGTGTGTATAAAATTAAGCCTGGCCAGAGAGGAGAGTGTAAACCGGCGCGGGGAGCTTGTCGCGTCCGTGGAGGAACTCAAGTTCGAGGAGGAAGATGAAGCCGAGGAGCTCGCCGCCCATCTTCTGGATCAGCTCACCACCGGCCTTGGCAGAGCCACCTAAAAATAGTTAATTAGTATGAAGTATCCACAGGGAGATTCTCAATCACATACCAGTAGCAATAATGTCATCAATGACGAGGACCTTCTGGCCGGGCTTGATGGAATCGGCCTGCATCTGGAAGAAATCCTGACCATACTCCTTCTCGTAGCCCTGGGTCTCGCAAGGACCGGGGAGCTTGCCCTGCTTGCGCACGGGGACGAAGCTGGCACCCAGACGCAACGCCAGGCTGGGTCCCATCAGGAAGCCACGGGCCTCAAGGCCGACAATGACATCGGGCTTCTGGCCACCGTAGTTGGCAATGATGTGAAGTTCCAGGGAGCGGATCAGGGCCTCATGCAAAGAGGGATCGGCGAAGATAGGCAGGATATCCTCGAACAAGATTCCCGGAGAGGGGAAATCCGGGAACTGGCGCAGGGCGGCGCGCAGTGCTACCTTAAGACTGGCGAGTTCGGCGGCGCTGGTGGCATCGGAGGCGGGGAGTCCGACTTTGGAGGCATCTGGGAGAGTGGAGGACATGATGATGAAAGGAAGAGAAGAAAGAGGGGGAAGAGGCTTAGATGTAAAAGGGTTTAAAAAAAAAAGAAAAATCTCAAAAAAATATTTGGAGGGGGAAAAAAAAGGAAATGGGTAAAATTACAGATAAGGCAGATAAAATCGGGTTACTTGCCCCTCAGGTCTAGATCGTTACTGGTTTTTTTTACTTTGATGTATTTTTATATACAGATATATATTTTTTTACATTGTATTATATGTTTTATATGTTTTATATATACTTTATATATAGTTTATATATACTCTATATACTCTATACACTTTATTTATATATATTTTTATATCAGATATATACGTCCCTATAGTATACCAGGTACAAACTCAGCGGTCAGATCCCGCCACCAAGGTAAAATACTCCAATACTGCGGTCACGCGATTGCATCTTCTTCTAGAACACAGGTAAAACTGTACTTACTACTCCGTATATTTCACTATATTTTACTACATTTTACTACATTTACTATACTCGTACAAAGCACGGAGTAGCTAGATATGCCCAACCAGGGTCGGATCTGCGAGACCCTAATCAGCCCCGTAAACTTAGTGCTCAGTCCCCTATCATCCCTGACACTGCACTGTGTTCCAGTTTCCCAAAAGTCTAGACCGTTGGACTATAACCTGGAGTTTACGGTTACTTTAGAGGTCCAGAGGACAACAGAACCCGAACTAGAACTAGAACTAAAACTACACTATCAAGAGGTCATCATAAATGACTCACTCTATGGTGTCCAGACCGGGGATTTAGAACCGCGTTGGATCAGACCATCTCAACGGATATGCGCCGTATGGCCAGCCTTTGACACATCAGACAGCCATTACACCTGGCCCCGGCCAATAGAATGTCTCTGGCCACGACGTGATCTGAAACCCATCAGAGTGGCTTTACTGGAAACAGACATGCGTGCTGCATGTCGGGATGTCTGTTGTGCAGATAGTGGGGGGATTTGTCCGTTGTCCGTGTAATCATAGAATAACCCCTCGTTTTCTGGTACAAGAACAAAAGTACCAGGTAAAGTGAAACACTAAACAACATCAACAAGATAACATGGGAAAATCATAATCAGATGTAAATTATAGTTTCAAAAAATAAAAGAGCAAAAAAGAAATCTCAGGTTTGGTTTTTAGGAATAGCCGAACGCGGGGGTCGAACCCGCAGCCTTAAGATTAAGAGTCTTACGCTCTACCGATTGAGCTAGCCCGGCCGGGCTGTTGGAAGAGGCTGTCATATAGTGCTAGATAAGCCAAATATAGTGGATAGATGGGAATTCCTACATACATTAACAGAGCCATGGCCTTGGACATGGTTGGATTGGGAAAGTTTGGATTATTGTGCAATATAATATATCTATCTTTATTTCTGTTCTCATCTTCATGTCTGTATCATCAGCATTCTTTTCCATTCATTATATACATGCATATACGCTTCACTTTGGACTGCCGAGTGTAAAATATATATATCCTTCGCTCGACAAGGGTTGATTTCAAGAAGTTGGAACCATCTGCGGTGCCTTGCAATATCTCACCACATCAAACCAGATCAAATTCCGAAAAGCCGCCAAAATAATCATAAGTTCTTTGAACTACTTTCCCTGGAGTGCTTCCAGGTGGGCAGTTTGACTGTGCTGACTCACTGTCGCACACTTCTACTTTACTTGACTATAAATACTCATCATTCATGCTCCTAATATGTTGGCACCTATATGTACCTGCATGTACCTGCATATAGATACTCTATTTAATGTAAGGAAGGTAGATCTGGGTACCCCCATGTCGTTTATTGAAGTATACTCGGCCTCGACCTAAGCCTAAAATGGAATAACCCTCACATGACCAGCACGGACCACCTCGCTTCAAGTTTTTCCGGTGTCGACCCAATCGCTATAAATCCTCCTGATTTCCTCTTTTCCATTTCTCATGCTTTTGAAGTTTGAGAGCCTCAATAGGCCACTTCCATCTCAGATGAATTCTTTCTGATACCCTGTAATACATTTTACTCATGTCACCTGCCGTGATTACCGAGATGCAGCCGGATCTGCACCATGCCCAGCTCGAGGCCGTCGGCACAGCCTTCGATGCACTCCTACTAACCGTGTACCGGCTGACTCACAGACAAAATGAGCTGTTCCAACACATGGACAATGTCTTCAAAGAGGTAAATATTCGCCCCCCCCTGCTTTCGCATACTGGTCTCGCATGACGAAGAAAAGCTCTAGATCAGGAGTCACTTTTGTGGCGATGACGGATTAACATGTATTATCTGATTGAGACCATGACTGCCTTGCCGTTATGACATTTGCCAAGATGAACATTGCTAACTTTGTATCTTGCAGTACACAGATGTGATAGAAATTCTGCCTCCTCAAGATAGACATCGTGCATTTGACGTTCAAAACAAATTGCTTGTCCAGCAAGAAGAATACCGTCAGGGCCTCGTACACAGCAAGCCTCGGGTTGAAGAACAACCGTTGAATTCCATGGATGTAATCAAGACCCTCGTTGCACATCAAAATGTAGACGAAAATACTTTATCGGCCATCAAGAATGGAGTCAAAGGGTGCAAATCTCTGCTCCGCTCCCAAGATAGCCTCTCCCAAATATCCTCCAACTCGTGCATCCTCGCGCAAGCACCGGCTCCAGCAATCGCGCTGGAGAAGGACTTCACAACGAATGGCACCCAGGGAAATCTACATTGCCCCTTCTCCAAACCGAATAAGACGCAAAGCACAAATGCCAGTGAGGCCCCCAGTGGGAAAAATTCTGCGCCCAAGGTCCAGATCGAAGCTACCTGCGGCCACGAGCATCTGGACCCCATCAAGGCTGAACTGGAAGACCGACGCTCTAGCCACACCCCATCAGCCCCGTCGTCAAAAGGAGGATGTCCCGTCTCCCGGTGCCCGATCCGATTCCTCGATCAACATTCCCCAGAAGAAATCGCCGAATACGTCGAACGACACAAACATGAGATCCCCCGCAGCCACGCCATTTGCGTCAAGCGCTATCAGCGAAACCCACAGGACATGAGGCAACTGGACGCGAAATATGGCGGGCTGACCAGTATGATCGCTGGTCTAGGTGTCAAGCACCAAGCCTTCCTGCCTGACCGTCATACCAATGGCGAAGGCCACTCCTCGCATTCTGCGTCGAGCGAACGTGTTGAGAAATGGGCTGAAAACGTCGACACCAGTACGCCTAGTGCTCAGGACGAGGAGAACGAGGAGAACAACGAGAACAACGAGGAGGATAAGAATGAGGATGATAACCGCCAGAGCCACTTTGACCGTCCCCTCCGTGAAGTACGCGTGGGTGAATCCCCAAGCAGGCCTTGGGGCATTTCAGTGCCTGTCACACATCTACCTCCCGCCTCAGCGCCGTTCTCTGGCTCGGCGTCTATCCCCACATCCCCCAACCCTCAAGCCGACAAACTTGATAAACCCACCGATGCCGAAGTCCTTGATGCTAAGCCTGCCGGCGGCTGTCCATTCGGCCATGGCAAACCAAAGTCTGAAGCTGTAAAATCCGAAATGGAAACACCCCGGAGTGATAAAAGGCCCGAGAACAATGGGATTGCTACACCAAATAAATCTGGTTGTCCATTCGGCCACAATAAATCAAAGACTGAAGTTCCAAAGCCTGAAACCAAGACCCCCTGGACTGGTGAGTGGCCTAAGACCTGGCCCAAAGACCAGGCTGTCACAGATCAAGTACCTGATCCTCAAGTTGCTCCGACTGCTCCTGTGAGCGAGGACTCAACTACGAAACCCGACATCCCCTCAACTTTCTCAACCCCCTCCCACATCACCTTCAATGGCCCCATGTTCTTCGGGTACTCCGCTGAGGAGACCGCCAACTTATTGAAACAGTTCGGCAACTTAGGTAAATCATGACCCCAACGAAACTTTTTGTATAGTATGTTCACGGAAGGCGCATGCTCTTTACGCATCACGACGAAACGACTTAATTTTTGTTTTTAGCAAGCTTTATCATTGTATTAGCCCAATTGAATCCTGATTTAATACAAATTCCCAATATAATTTGATATCTATAACAGCTATAACAACAATAATAATAACAATAACAATAAAATCCATAACGTAAAGTAAGAGAATGATCTCATCGGGGAGCATCGACCCTCTCCGAGGGAAACTCGCAGAGCGGGGCACCTTCGTTATCATCGCGACCTTCCTATAACTTCCTCTCTTCCCGATGCTGCGAATTACTCCTCGTCTTCTATCTCTATCTCGAATCCTTCGTCCTTCAATCCCACTCAGACCCCAATTCCCTTCTCTCGTAATGTCTGCCAACATCTCCATCATCTCCGCTAAGGATGCCTGCCCTCGTAAGTCAAGCCCCGCCAGCTATGGTTCCTCCCCCGCCTCTTAGACAGAGAAAGGAGTCTCAATTCCAGAAAAGGAATCAACACAGACGAAGAGCAATAGCTAACTCACATCTCCTATAGCTGCCGGCCCTTACGTACGTTGTCCTTCTCCCCCATCTGCAACTGCAGCTCCATCTACCTTGGGAGCTACCCCTCCATACCGGAACAATTCACTCCCAAAACCTTACCATTCAACGTCTACCCATATTGTACCATGAAAGAACAACCTAACAAAACAACAACAGTCCCAGGCCATCCGCGCCAACGGCCAGATCTTTGTCTCCGGCCAGATTCCCGCTGACTCCTCCGCCAACTTGGTCGAGGGCAACATCGGCGCCAAGACACAGGTTTGCTGCGATAACATCAAGGCTATCTTGACCGCCGCTGGCTCCAGCGTGGACAAGATCGTCAAGGTCAATGTATGTGTTTCCCACCCGGTCTTGTTATCGTGGTGTTTCTGGACTCGGCGTTCTGCGAGAAAGGAGCATACACAAGTTATGAGAAGGACCGCTTTGCTGATCTTGATTTCTTTCTTAGGTCTTCCTGACTGATATGGCCAACTTCGCCGAGATGAACGCTACTTACGAGAAGTTCTTCGTTCACAAGCCTGCTCGCAGCTGTGTTGCTGTTCACCAGCTGCCCAAGGGTGTGCCTGTTGAGATTGAGTGCATTGCTCTGGAGTAGATTTTGGGATCTATTTAATCCAATTTTTAGTTCTATTCGAGTCAATGAAAACAATATAAAAGACAGTTTAGAATAAGAATGAGAACGAATTCGATCGAATTATGTTGTGGAAATCCTAGGGGAGATCTTTATCTTGATTATTTCCATTTCCGATCCCCTCTCTCGAGGAACATACATGCGCGAGTACAAGCAGATGCCAAATTGGGAATCATAAGAGTCAAAGGCCCACGCGTAATGAGACAGAATGCAACAGACGAAGGAAATGGAGAATTGGAAAGAAAAAACAAAAAAACGAACACAATATTGCTGGCTTGATGGATAAGGAAAATAGGAAAATAAAAGTCGGAAGATAGGAGAGCTTGCTAGACAAGTGCACATTCACCTGCCACGGGGGATGATACCGCTCATGCGGCTTCCAGCACCGGCCATCAGACTCTGTTTCACGATAGCATCGGCAGCAGCAGCGGCAGCAAGTCTTTCCTTCTGACGACTACGGTCGCGAAGATAGCCGGCAGCTTCGGGGCGCATGCGAAGAATGCGCAGGATCATGTCGTCGTTCGGATCAGCTTGCGCCTCCCGCCGCTTCTCTTCCTTAGCTTTCCTCATCGTGCCCAGATTGCGGGAGAGCATGATGCTCTTGGCGCGACGGGCAGCAGGAAGACCCAAGCCGCCGTAGCCGGCACCTGTGGCGCCGAGGTGAACAGGCGCGGAATTGCGGTTGCGGGCCGCTTGTTGGCGGTTGACAGTCGCCGAAGCCATGCGCTCGGAGGTGCGAATGAGGTGCTCCGTTGGTTCGAAGTAGAAGAAATTCAGAGACTGGATTTCATGATATTTGGGTGATTTCAGGATATCGATTGGGACGCCGTTTGCTTCGCCGGTTTCGTCGTCAACCGCATGGAAGAAGTTCAGTAGTAACACGAGCCAGCGTGATACGATGTCGACTTCTTGAATGGTTAATGGCTTCTGATGGGATGGCTTATCCGACAGAGGTGGTACAAGTAGACTCTCGATAGTAGCGAGCACTTCCTTCCACAGGCGAGCCATCACCATTTTCATGGCTTCGGGTGTGAGGGTTTTGTTCATGATGGCGAAGTTGTCATTGAAGTAATTGAACAAGGGAGTCAGTGCATTTTCAACATCTGCCGGGGTGGGTCCGGCAGGAGCTGGTTGCGCTCGGTTGCGATTCAAGAAGCTCGAAACACTAGATATACTGAGTCCACGAGAGAGCAGAGACTTTAGTGTTCGCCGGGAAAGGCAGTGACTGATATATGCCGAAAGCTTCTCTGTGATCTTTCGAGTCATATCCCTTTCAGTTCGTTTGAGTGTACGGAAAGCCTTGCCGAAGTAGAACTGGATATCGTCTCGCTCGCCTTCCATACTGACTCGGAGCAGAAGCCGACCCTGGGTATCCAGGTCGAGCCAATACTCTCTGGGCAAGAAGTCACTAAAGTGTACAGGATCTAGCTTGATCGACGTGCGACCAACATAGTCGTGATCGCCCACCGCATCCCAGTCCCAGATGGTAGCGATGATATTCAGAGGGCCCTGTGTAGTGAGATCCACTGCATCCTCCCACCGTGGATTAAGATTATTGTAGATGATGCGGGTTTTGGCAATTCGTTTCTGATATTCGTCTGTCAAGACGACATATGGATCGCTGCCACCACCAATGTCGCATGATTTCAAGTCCTCTGCCTCCACTACCTTGATAGTAAAGACATAGGTGGTAGATTTGCGGACCTTCTTGAGTTGCGGTGGAGTATTTTTTGCAATGACTTCGGCGCACCCGTCGACGTTGATGTCACTTTCGAGTTTGTCGAGCTGAGCAAGTGCGTACTCAATATTGTTCAATTTCACCAGGGACTACGGAATATGTTAGCCGCAATATTGACCTAGTCGAAATGAACAACAACATACCTCCGACGAGAATTGGAAGGGCTCGATTTTTTCCTTATTCGTCCAGGTGTCTTTGGCAAACTGCATTAGCTTTTCCTGAGTGGTTTGATTCAATGCTGCCTCCTGCTCGGGCGTGAGACGATCCATCTCCCGCGTGAACATCTTCTCTAAGGAGTCACAGTATGTTGCCACACCTTTCCCAATTGAATTAGAGAGATGTGTCATGAACTTCGCATATTGAAGATCATCATCCCACTCCAGTTGCACCATATTTTCAACAACTTGGTTGAAAGATCGGAAAATGTCAATAACTGACACACTATGACGATCATCTTCAGGCGCAAGCTCTGAACGAATGGCGAATGGATCCTGTCTTGTAGCTTGGCTGACCCAATCAGTGATCTTTTGGTCAGTTAGACGAAGCCATCTCCAGACGAAGTCTTGAAGGAGACCCTCGACATGGAATGGGAATGGAGCACTAAGCTGAGTTAGCTAATCCCAGAGGAACAGTAGGGGAGTCCAGGGGCTTACTCCTCATGGGTGTTATGGAATAACCGTCTGATTGTAGCGAGCTGCTTGTATAGGTCGAAGCCGTCGTCAATAGCGATCTCCTCACCCCTCGCTTTTGCCTGATCTAGAATCCTAATGATCATTTCATGTACATCCTCGGCGAACATAGGGAGTACGTTGTGGCACAAGGTGGTATAGGGGTTCACACTATTTGTAAGTTAGAGATTGATCAAATGGACAGACGAGAAAGAAAGAACCCACCCCATGATCTCCGGGTTATTGCGGTAGCGTTTTTGAATCTTTAGCGCAAGCTTTGAGATTGCATCTCCAAGCTGAATGACATGGTCGGGATCCCAAGCCTCTTGTTCCATGGGGATTAGTTGGCTAAGAAGGCTTTGATACTTTGTTGTTGCTTTTTCGGCAAGCCCTTCTTGCACATACGTGCTGAATCGATTGATGTCTTCAGGGTCCTCAATGTAGTTAGGGTCCATCTGGACGTGGGTGTCAAGAATGTACATAATTGGACCGAGTGGGCGTGGCTTTGCCTCAAAGCAGTCCATCATAGCCTCATATAGCTCGCGGAGCAAAGCCTCATGAAGTTTGGATAGCAGCATTTGCATTGTTTGAAGATCATGTACGGTCCATCGTCGCCGATCAAAGACCGTGGAAGGCGCAAAGCTAATGCGTTTGCGGTTCTCCCCCGAAGGAATTTCTTTCACAAAAGTAAATGCGGAGTCAAGGGTAGTGAGATCGATCTCATTGTCAACAAATTTAGCCTGAGCCACCTCGAGGAACATCACGACCCGGGAGAAGGGTGGAATTCGCCAGCGGTGACATATCTCATTCAGCATTTCCGTGGATTGCTTCGACAGCAGTTTCATTGAAGGTACGTCAGATTTGGCTTGCGTAGCTTCAAACTCCCTGTCCCGCAGATCATGGGTCAAGGTCTGGGCCAAGATGTATTTGTACAAAGACCTAGGGTCAGACGGTATGAATGTGTATGTATCGGACTCATCTGACTGTTCTAGAGAAAGCCCACTCAAATCAAGTGGCTGATCAATGACATAAGATGTTCTGTCAGGACGACCAGACGATGTCCTTGACAAGTCGGGATTCTCATGACTAGAATTAAACTGAGGAAGAGACCCTGGTGTGCTTTTGGCTAGGTCGGGGTTGGATTGCATGATTGCGAGCATCATCTGTGAGAGATCGGGGCCTTCGCTCTTTTTCCAGCCATCATAACCCTCGTCCGACTCAAAATCATCTCTTGACAAGGTTTTGTGCGTCTGGAGGTTCAAATGGGCTTGGTAGGTCTTTAGGTCCTGCAGAGCAGCCTTTTCGGTCCAGGTGGACTTGTGTTTATCGATCTCGGCCTGTGCTTCGGATGTGGTCATCCCAAAGATTTTGGCCACATGTTGAACCAGGGGCATATCCTTCACGTTATAGCTCAATACGCCAACACTCTCTGTTGTAGAAGTAGGCCCGTTCGTTTGCATGAGGTCCTGATCTTGTAGGAGAAGCTTGTTTTCCAGCACCGTTAATCGATTGGCCAACTCTGGGCGGTCCTTGGACCACTCGTGATCCTTCAAGGTGAGAGCAAGGAGTCGGACAAAAAGCGCAACATGTCGATCCACCATGAACTTCCAGCTATCATCATCCTGCTCTTTGCCCTTGCCCATCTCTTTGACTGCATTGGAGTAGAAAATCAGGAGCAGATCTTCAGCTCGGCGGTCCTTTTCCATGCGTTTTCGGAACGAGTCCTCCTTCAGAACATTGAGAAAGACAGCGAATGTCCGCACCACTAGGTGATCTTGATATTCCTTCCTTTTCTCCTTTCCCATCAACACACCTGTCAACCGCTTTTCCAGCTCGGACACGAAGCCATGGGGAATCCTAGTGCTTTTGGAGTCTCTGACCAAGGAGAAATCGCTCATTAAATCATGCATGGTGACTGATCGTTTTGGCCGCGCCGGCGCGACGGGGGCATTTTGGATGCGACGAGAGCGAGGGTTGAGGAGGTAGGCAAGGTAGGCGACCCGAATGGCATGACTGTATGCCACGTTGGCGCTTAGGGGGCGACGCCGTGATAAAGAGGAGTTGCGCGAATGGCGACCCTCATTTTGGAGGCTGTTAATCCGTCGGTTGACTCCTCGGGATTGGGTAGATGCTGTCGACATGGAGTTGTCAATTAAATTCGTGCAATGTTAGGTGACAGATAGCGTGAGACCATGGAGAAAGTTGGAAAGCACCCAGCACCCAGCACCTAGAAGGAGATTTTCAGAATATTTTTTCTCTTTCAGTCTGAAGTGAAATGCCGTCACAAAGCTGGAGGGGCGGATTGTTTATTGAAGGGGGAGAGAGAGGGGGGTGGAGGTGAAACAAAAAGCTGCCGAACCAACTGACGTAGAGGCGTCCCGTCCAAAACAATGTTATTTACTGTCTGACTATGTTATGGAGTTACTATAATTATTATTCTTCTTTTCCTTCTATATAAAAAGTGATTATTGCACATTCCTAGTCCAAGGAGACCTGATCCTTGTTTCCTTGTTCTCCCTAGATACAACCAAACTTATAGAGCTGCAAGGGCTTCGTGATTATCTGGGAAGATCAATATTGACATCAAGTCAAAGTCTACATATAGAAAGATGGCTTAAAGGATTCTAAAAAGAATCTAGAAAAGTATCTAAAAGATACCTAAAAAGAGAACCCAAAAGGACATAGTAGTGTTATCTCGAATACATCGTCCATAATATCAAATGGATCGATGCGAGATATTGGCACATACGACAAACACAAGAAGTAGTTTTCAATCCAAATTCATTCCGAGCATGCGATCGGGCTTTTTTCGGGTTTTGATGAAACATGGGACTGGTGAATCGACCACTAGCCCCCAAAGACGCCGAAGATAGAAAATCGTACTGGTATTTACACAAACAAAAAAGAGGAACCAGATGTCAATCACAACTTGTCGCCGGACTTGTGAGCCTAAACCAAATAGTTAGCTCTTTGCCCTTGTAAGAAGTTCTGTGAATATCATGCCCAATACATACCGGCAAAGCATTGGGACCTCCCAACTCCTTCTCCAGACCATCGACATAGGCCTTAGGAACACTCGGCTTGTCAGGGTAGTTGAGGCTGACAACGCCAACCAGGCCAAGGAAAGCAACGACGAAGCATCCGAGGTGGAAGAAACCCTTCCCGGCCGTGACGTGGGTATATTGCTCGGGACTGAAGACACCGAGGATTTCGTTATCCTCGTGCACAGGCTCGCCAAAGTTGCGCTTCTCTTGTGCATCCCACCAGCCACCGTGAGGGTCTCTGTGTGCCCGCTTGACTGCGGGAGGGTTGGGGTAGTTGTTGTTCTGTGTCGGGGGTTAGGTCCCGGATACCAAGTAGGGAGACGGCATCTGTGCCATATGAATGCTATACCTGTAGAGGATCGTCAACCGCAGCAGCACGGAGAGCTGGGATCTGGGAGAAGGATGCGCGAGGAGCAATGGCTCGGGCGGCAACCTGGGGCAGGCGCCGGGCCAAGATCCGTTGAGACAGCATCTGGCAGAGGAATTGAAAGTCAGAAAGGCTGGAGAGTTATGGAAGATAAGATGGAGCTAAAGAAAGAGACTCACAGTTATGCTGAAAGACGAGCAGCCAATGAGTTGTCAAAGGAAGGCAAGAGAGCCAATTGGGTAGAGGGGGTTGAATATCGATGATGAACGGATGGAGGTTTGCGGAATGTTATGGCCTGAGGCAGAGAGTCACAAGACTTCAGGCATCCACGCGCCGGCGCGACCATGTAATTGCTCGCCCGAAGGAAAAAAACCACTCTCCACGTATTCTCATCATCTCCGTTATTTTTCTGTCCCCATCCACGCTACAGCGCCGATAAGCATGTTAAACTTCGTGTAGTATCTCTACTCGATATTCCCTATCTGCTGATGCCAAAATCATCTACTTCGACTGCGTCATTGTTGGGATAACTGGGGTCACCTGCCGCCAACGGCCCCTGTCGTCTGCGGCTACAAGTCATGCAAAACGGCACCCCCAACGGCCCATCACCCCAAGATGAACGCGTAACGCCTGTATCCGATTTGACACCCCTCAATGGGTCTGTAATCGAAAGCTCATCGGATTCTGCCCCCCACGAGTCAATTCCTTCCGAGCCGAAAGACGTCGAAGCTGTTCATCAACCCGAAGAACCCCCATCGAAGAAACGAAGACTCACAGATTCCTCCTCGTCGCAACGTTCCACTCCCAGACCACCATCCCCGCCTTGGAAAAAGGCTGGCTATGAGGGACCCACATCGTTCCTCTCTGAAGGCAAGCGCAGGTCGTCGCGGACAAACGCCGTTCCGATCGAATTTCAACCTGGGTCAGACAAGAGACACACACGGGGGGCTCAGAACAAGAATGTTGGCAAGTCTGCTCGTGATGGAAGCAAGCCGGCTACATCCTCGCCGCTATCGGTAACACAGTCACGCGCCGATGTCAATGGGAAACTCGGGGGAAAGGCCACTGCCAATGGATCGCCCAGAGCGCCGTCGCGCGCGGCCGCCAACAAGCCGCCGCGTATCTCACAGACTCCAGCACCAAAATCAAGTCATTCGCGCACCAAATCTCGCAGCTCCGGTACCCTTCCTCGCCCGTCTGGTGCCAACGCGAACGGCACTAGTTCTCGCTCGCTGCGCGATCGCCCATCCCTTTCGAACCTATCACAGGAGGTCAATGGAGCTTCAGATGATGTCAATATGGATGACAAGGAACTCGAACAAGGGTCATTGAAAATTCCAAAATTGCGCATTAAATTGAACAAGCCTGTCCTTCCTATTCGGCACCCCGGCCACATACCGCAGAAGAAATATGCGTCTTTCAGAGAATGGGTATACCAAAACGATACCGCAAATATATTGTCAGAAGATGAGGCTACGATAGAGGCACGCAAACGGCATGAAGTCATGACTGCTGCTGAGCCCGGTGGACTGTTGAGTGCGCAAGTTTGCTCGGCATATATCACAGAACAGCAAGAGGAACCTCCCCCACAATACTCGCACCAGGATCACCTGGTTTCCCACGCGCTCTATTTCCAGAAACTCCTCGATAAAGAACACAAACGCCACCGGCAAACAGCCAAACTGTTTGCGCAGTGGTGTGCTGACGCTTATCGGAAACGCCACAAGAACCCCGAAGATATTCTCCGCGAGCAACAGGAAGAGATGCGTGGGAAACGCAAGCAGCTATCAAAGGATCTTCAGAAGATGTTCGACTTGACACGTGCGGATATTGATCGGGTCCGCCTAGCACGTTGGGAAGAAGAGCGGAAGATGGAAGACCAGCAGGCTCTTGATCGCGCTATCAAAAAGTCTACCATGCTATTCGAGAAGCGTCGATCCGAGATCTTGGGTGAATTGCCTAGCGATGCTCCGGTGACGAGTGACGACGAGGATAACATATCGGGCTTTTCGTCTGGCCCAGGTGAAGAAGACGAGAGCAACATGTCCGATTCTGAATCTGGAACCGACGACGAGACTAATGTGGACGATGATGCCACACTAACCGCGGAAGAGCTCCGGCTGAAGTACGCCAACTTACCTACTGAGGACTATACCGACCGGATGTCTATAGCCTCGGGAAGCACGGCAATGACCAACCCCAACGAATCCTTGGACCCTGAAGCTGTTTTAGATGACCTCAATTCACACGCCACCCCCGAAGATAATCAACTAGACGACGTTGATTCAGTGTTGATGGATGATAGTGATGCCTCCACAGACATGGATGATGATATGGGTGATAGTGACGAAGAGGAAGAAGACTTAAGTGACGAGGAGTCGGATGAGGATGATGAGACCAGATCTGGATTGCTGGGTTTCTTCTCGAAAAATGAAACACCTGTATCAAAGGATGGCGAAGAAGCTTCAGCGGTTGGCCACGAACAAGACATTGATATCAAATCGGCATCGGAGGGTGAAGATGACATTGATTTTGAAGATCAAGATGAAGTCTCCCTGGTTCCAATCAGACCAACGACCAGCGAAGGCACTTCAACAGAAGGCACACCTTTACATATCGCCAATGCTTCTGAAGCGTCTCCTGCGACTGGAGCAGAAACACCTGCAGTTGACACCCCGATGGAAGAGGAGCTCGCCGAGGCCGAAGCCGCAGCTGAGGATGCAGCCACCGCTGATGTTGTACATGACATCAACCAACTCCACGAGGTCGAGTCTACCAAACTAGAGACGGAGGGAGCAACTCCTGCTGACATCGCGGCTGACATTGATCAACCCCAGTCTATGGAAGTAGATCACGTTCATGACAGCCGAATAAGCGGGGATATGTCTAGTGAGCCATCACCGGGTACCTTTGCAACCAAGCCATCCGAGCCTGAGTCGGTCTCATCGCTTGAGCCGGCAATTGAAAAGGCATTGCAAATAAGCCACTCACCTGCCCCAGGCCTACAGACACCCATTCCACAGATCCTCCGTGGTACACTACGTGAATATCAACACTACGGATTGGACTGGCTTGCGGGTCTCTACAACAACCGCATCAATGGTATCCTGGCAGACGAGATGGGTCTGGGGAAAACTATTCAAACCATTGCGCTTCTTGCCCACCTTGCCGTGGACCATGGTATCTGGGGGCCGCATTTGGTAGTTGTTCCAACCAGTGTCATGCTCAACTGGGAAATGGAGTTCAAGAAATGGTGCCCGGGGTTCAAGATCATGACTTACTACGGCAACCAAGAAGAACGCAAACAGAAACGCCGAGGCTGGACAGACGACAACGCCTGGAACGTGTTGATTACATCGTATCAACTTGTTTTGCAGGACCAAATGTCTCTCAAGCGAAAGGACTGGCACTACATGATTCTTGATGAAGCACACAACATCAAGAACTTCCGCTCACAGAGGTGGCAAGCCCTTCTTACGTTCAAGTCCCGTGCTAGGCTTCTCCTAACGGGTACACCGCTCCAGAACAACCTCACGGAACTGTGGTCTCTTCTGTTCTTCTTGATGCCTTCGGATGGTACGAATGGTGGCGTCGATGGGTTTGCTGATTTGAAAGATTTCTCCGAATGGTTCCGGCGCCCCGTTGAACAAATTTTGGAGCATGGTAGGGAGACTATGGACGATGAGGCCAAGGGCGTGATCACCAAACTTCACACCGTTCTCCGCCCGTACCTTCTTCGTCGGCTGAAGGCCGATGTTGAGAAACAAATGCCTGGCAAGTACGAACATGTGGTCTACTGTAGGCTATCAAAGCGTCAGCGATACCTTTACGATGGCTTTATGTCGATGGCTCAGACCAAGGAGACGCTCGCGTCCGGAAACTTCCTCTCCATCATCCACTGTCTGATGCAACTCCGTAAAGTGTGCAACCACCCCGATCTATTTGAAACTCGACAAATCTCCACTTCCTTTGCGATGCCGCGGTCTGTGGCTATGGATTTTAATATCAAGGAGTCCCTCGTTCGACGACGACTTCTCTTCGAACACCCACTCACTAAGATCGACTTGGATTTCCTCAACCTCGCACCTGTATCACGGGAAGATATCTCACGACGGCTGGCCGACGACAGTATCAGGCTGATGGCTATTGGGCCGTTCAAGACTCTCCGAGAACGCCAGTACAACCGAACCAATTGGGAGATGGGCTTTGACGGGTCCAACATGCAGACCATTTTAGAGTCATTGGAGAACGCCTGTCGCAAGAGACGAATGGCGGAATTAGAGCGGTGTCTCTACTTCGAATCCAAGCGGCACGGCCGTCGGCCCATCTACGGCAGCAGCCTGATCGAATTCCTTCGGGCTGGGACTAAGGAACATGCGCTATCTAATGCACCGCTACGGAAGCGCTCAATGGCCGACTGGTTGTCAAGCCGGTCTTCCGTCCTCGCGTCGATGATTCTGACCGTTGAGGAACGAGCTCTTGAGATGCATGGGTATGTCCAGAGATTCGCTTGTGTCACCCCCGCTGCCGTCGCCGCGGGCATGAACGAAGCCGCCTTGACTCCCGTCGAGACCCGGCTTTTGACGAATAATCGCCCAAACCCGCCATACGACCCTTTCCACGAAGCACGGATGCGCCTTTCTATTGCGTTCCCGGATAAGAGATTGCTTCAATACGACTGCGGAAAACTGCAGCGCCTTGACAAACTCCTACGTGACCTCAAAGCCGGTGGCCATCGAGCCTTGATCTTCACTCAAATGACCAAGATGCTCGATATCCTCGAACAGTTCCTCAATATCCATGGCCATCGCTATCTCCGACTCGACGGAACTACCAAAGTCGAGTCCCGACAGATGCTTACGGAACGATTCAATAGCGACCCCCGCATCCTTGCTTTCATCCTATCGAGTCGATCCGGTGGTCTCGGTATTAATCTTACGGGTGCGGATACGGTCATCTTCTACGATCTAGACTGGAATCCAGCCATGGACAAGCAATGTCAGGATCGCTGCCACCGTATCGGTCAAACACGCGATGTCCACATCTACCGCTTCGTATCCGAGTATACCATTGAATCCAACATCCTCCGCAAAGCCAACCAGAAGCGCATGCTCGACGATGTCATCATCCAAGAAGGCGAGTTCACCACAGACTACTTCACCAAACTGAGCGCGCAAGAGTTACCCGAACCCGACGAGCGCGACGGCCAAGACGAAGCAAGTGCTGCCATGGACCGAGTTCTCGGAAACCGCGTCGGTGGAACCCGGGTTTTCGAAGCAGCTGAGGACAAGGAGGATCTGGATGCGGCGAAGAATGCTCAGAAAGAACAGGAGCATGCCGACGATGGGGACTTCGAGGAGCATAGCGCTTCGCACGGAACACCGGCCCAAGCCGGAACACCCTTGGCTGTGGAAGACGGGGTTGAGCCGGTTCCCCTGCACGTGTCTGACCCCGATGCAGAATTCCAGCCTGGTCACATTGATGACTATCTTTTGCGCTTCATGGAGTGGAACATGAGGGATGAACCCCTGGTTCTGCCAGCGGATAAGAGTAAGAAGAAGTCCAAGAAGGGCAAGGAGCACCATCTCAAGAGGCGTCGCTAGAGCCATTGTGAGATCAATGCTTTTGCCTCCTTTTGACTCCACTCCCCGTTTCATGTTTCAATATTTCCCCCTTCTCCTCAATATTCCCCTCACGGAGTTATCTTGTTTTCTCCCGGCTTCCGGCTTGTAATAGTCTTTGTGTATAATCTATTTTGTAGGTGTTAAAAGATGTTATAATGCTTTTTTTTTTCTCTTCTGATTAGCTGTCTTTATTACTATTTACTATTTGCTATTTGCTATGTTCTTTTTTCTTTTTCTCTATTCGTTCCCCCCCCCCTTTACTATATGTTATATGTTAATTCTATATTAACAAAAAAAGACAATAGAATCCATTAACAGAAATAGACTCATAACAACGTAAATCTGAACTAAATCTTTTCAAATTCAATAGTCTATTTCCCGGAGATTATACTTAACTAAACAAGTGGATCGGAAGCCATCCTGGATCGGCATACGGAGTAGGCAGATTCTTTCACTCCAACCGTCGGACCCTTGGATCTCAGAGGCTATTGAGATTTAGTTCGATCTTTATATATTAATATCAATAGTGTGAGAATCGCGGGATTGGCTATTGCTGTTGTACATACGAAATAGATTGCGGTGGAGTAGAATGCTACATCGTATACGGAGTATGGAGTCTCTATTTTGTACCTCGGAACGCCTTAGAGGTATATTGAGGATGGATGTAAATATAGTGTAATGATGTACAACATACTCCGTATATATTGTAAATCTACGGAACTAATTGTAAATCTACGGAGCTATCGAGTTGAAGAGAACAAAGGGCGATCATCTCGGCTCCCCCCCCCCCCCTTCTCCTGTATNATAGGGATCCATGGCTTAGTCGATCCCCAAAGCCAATTCTCGCCTACCTCGGTATGTGTTCTTCGAAGAGTAATGATTGAACGAGAGCGACCGCGTGGTTGAAGTAACGGTGGGGACAGCCTGAGCCATGAGGAAGTAGGAAGTGGAGCCTCATTCTGCAGTTCGGCCTCGGATATGACTGGGATACGCATAATTCTTTTGCACATGATCCCAGAGTGGGTGCATGGAGATATTGAGAATGCGGCCGAGTATTCACCGACGTCGACGTTGATTTGACGTTGATTTGACCTGTTGGAGTCGGGGCTCCACTGATCTTCTCTCCAAATGCCTCTTGAACTCGGACGGGAAGGAAATATGTAGGATGTTAGGGCTTTCGCGGAGAGACTCCGTACTCCATTAAGCTTTGGAAAGTACCTCGTTAGAGGTATAGTAGATCCATGGTGATCCGGGGGATCTCGATGCGATTTACATCATCGACTTGATAGATCACTATTTGCCGGATTAGGTGACTGGTGTTTTGAACTGTACATTAAGATATATGGCATTTTGCTATTGGCTCGGGGAGGGAGAAAAAAGAAAGAAAGAAAAGAGAACATGGCCCAGGAGAGATATTTCAAATGAACATTTCTTTGTATCGGGCGGCTGTAGACACGTCAAAGAAGGGATCTCCCTTTTAGTTTTGAGGCGCGCGGGTGAGAAAATGCCGATGCGCTATGTGTTGGATCCGGGTCTCGTTGCCTTCTTTGGGAAATCCGGTATTGGATATATTTTAAAACAAAGAGAGGGGTTTTTCTCGTATCTGGCCAATAACATAATGATCCAGAGAGTCGGCATTTCTCCAGATTCTCATTTCCCGAAGTGGCGGATGGGACAGGATAAGAAATTCTCACCCATGGGTGAAAGTGAAGATATCCAGCCTTGGAGATCCAAGACCTGAAGTCGGCCATCTGCAGTTCGCGAGAGATGTGACATATGCAGGACGAAGAACGCAAGTGATGATTGGCACTCGTGGGCGCTATTCATGCAGTGTCGGGCCCGTGCATTTTTTTGGATCAAGTTAAATGTCTCTCATATTTTCCCATGCCGACCATTAGAGAGGTAATGGGTACTCCGTAGGGAGGACTGGTATGAGAAATCCCGTTTTAGGGGGGGGGAAAAGGAACTCGGGATGTTACCAACGTGGAGTTCAATAAATCCACTATTGAGGACCCGGGCAGATCGTCGTCGATCAATTTGCCAGATCGATTGGCACTCGCACGAACTGGTACTCCACGGGCGTGACACCATTGGTGTGAGTCAAGAGGGGGCTTTACACTAGTTCTGACACCATGTACCTTAGCGGATTCACTTCCAGCCGTAAAAAAAGCATTGGTGCCTTGGGGGGGAAAGGCACCGCTGTTTTCCTAGTAAAATAGGCTCGTTTGAATAGTGTTGGATCTGAGCACATGATCCTTTGGGATTGAATTTGCACATGGTTTCCAAATCCATGGAAAGTTTGGAGTTCTCAACGGCTCTGCTTTTGGATAGACGTCCGGTGCAGAACCATCGGAACCGTCAGTACCATTGAGCCTTGAGATCCCGAGGTGGCGGTGATCGGCGACCATGAGGCCTAAGACGCCATCCGCGGGTGAGAGGAGGGCTTATCTGGTTTGGAGTAGGATCGTATTAGGATAAAACTGGGGCCTCAGCCGGGCCCCAATGCACAGTAAATCACTAGGGAACTATAGGCCGTGTGTGTGTCTTCGCATGACCGTTGTGCTGGGATTTCCCCCCCCC